AGCCGTTGCTAATGCTTGGCAGGCCTTGCTTTGCGACCATCAGCTTCTGCTAGCAAACTCCATTTGCCATACCCCCTTAGGGGGGTCCTCTAAATCATAATTCATCGAAGGTAGACGAACCAAGCAGAGTTGCAAATGGCAACCATATTTCCGGTCTTGAAACGGTGCGAGCATAATGCCACAGTACCAAGCACTTCCGAGGCCGTGTCGGTGTCCCGCAACTGCTGTCACGCAGCCTACGATCAACTTGATCTACTGGGAATGCTTCAGGATCTTCAGCACCTCGGTCCCACAAAGCAGTCCAAGCCCGATCGAATCTGAACTTCAAATCTGTGGTTGGGATGCCTCGCCAGCTTCAGCTTGCAGGGTTGGAGTTGCTGGGTTTACGCAAAAGTGAGTGGTACCCAAAGAAGACACACACTCACACAGTGGCACTTATGTCTCAAAGCTCCAATAGACATAACAGATGAACATGTGTATCTCTTTCGCTCGGCGCCGAGCGGCCGAGAACATGCTTTCATGACCCCTACTGTACTTGTTTCGAAGATTGAAGTGCTTTTTCTGATTTGGGTACTTCGCTGTGCGACTGGAGGGCTTGTAGGCCTCTGCCCAGGGACTCCTTCGAGGACACTGTGGCAAACTTCGCGCGCTTGTCTGTGCGCCCGACCCGCTTTTCTTCGCATAAGGCTCGTTGCCAATTATTGTGTGTTGTGCTTTGAACAAGTTCCTTCTTCCGAAGTCTCCCACTGCTTTGTGTTGTTATTCCTACTCGTAGTCCGGCAACACACCGAACCCCACACTCTGTACCATAGAACTCTAAAGACCCTCGACCCCGAGAATCCTTCGCTAGCACCGCGAAAGGATGCTGAAGGGACCCTAAGCACTCAGCCGAAAGCAACAACCACTGAGCCCTGCTACGACTTCATGCCAGGATGGAAAGCTGGAAGTTGCCGCAGCGGAGCTGATGAACAAGCTCGTTGCCCTTCTGCACGTGCCAGCCTTGCAGATGGAATGCCCATGCTCGAACTACCGGTTCGTCAGGGTCAAGTCTGCAGTGCAGTGCCTATGAAAATCTCTCAACGTGATACTCTGACTCACTCAATTCTATTGCTAATGATCCGATGCTCCCAGGCTTTTGCTGCACGTGTATCGGACATGTCGCAAGATGTCTCATCACCTTGCTTTATGAGTAGCAGAATCTTGCCTTCGCTTTTCCCCCAAAAGTTGTAAAAGGTGCCTGAAAGGTGTCTGAAGAGAGACCGGCAGATCTTCGGGACTTGGGGTTTCGACCCCAACCTGCAATGCCCTGGGAAAGCACCAACAAGTCAGGCGCGACTAAAACTCTAGCATGGCTGTGCTTTTTGCAACTCGTCCAGGGCTTGATTGAACAGCGGCTCGGCACGCCACCGAGATAAAGTCTACAGCCAGTGCAGGTGCTGCTGTGCAGCATCTTCAGACACGGCAAGGCAGCGCACAAGTATGGGAAGGACCGCACTGCATGAGACCAGGGTGCCCCACACCCCACTCCCAAACTGGGCTCGCTGTAGCTGTTAAAGACTGTCGGTAGCACGGTGCTACACATACTTTTGAGTCAGCGGCCTGGTTTGGCTTCAGCGCGTATCCCGAAGCACCGGAACCTTCAACAGGTGTTGCGATCTCCACCTCCGATCCAACCACATGACGCAGGGGGAACTCGATTCTAATCGTTGGCGAAGAGCCTTGCGATTTCTGGGAGGATCCGGAAGAGAGTGCCGAGAAAGCAAATGGAGGCTCGTGTGGCGCCAGTCGGTGAGATGTCAGTGTCGTATCGGCTGTGCTCGCATCCACACGTGACACTCCAACGATTGAGGAACATCCCGACTAGAAGCAGTGCCGCAGTACACAGGCAGTCTTAGGGCAAACAACCAGCTGCATTGATCCGTGAGCAGTATAGTCTATAGAGTGCGTAGTCCTGTAAGAAAACCGTTCACATGATGGGACAGCCAAAGCCAATGTGCTGCAGGCTTCACGGAGGCTGATGCGAAGTCGGCTGTTGACGGCCTCATGCAGGTGACTGCTAGCTATTACGACAGAGTATTCAACTCCCAGTATGGCTTGGCACTCTTTGTCAATCAAGCTTTTTGAGAGGTACCTCCCCGGTAGGGTTGTGAAGCCGATCCGTTCGCTGCAGCTGGCCTCTACTTCTAATGCTAAGGTCCTGACCAAGATCCACAAGATGTTGAATCCCTCCGGTACAGAGGACGGCGGGTCTAGGAGACGGGTGTACGAGATTAACAGAGACGAAAGAGTGAAGTCGGGCTCTTTCGCACTTTTCCGCGAGAGATTTGGGAGAGGACGACAAGGGACACGCCAGCTTCATGGCAGACTTGCTGGCTAATGATATCCGCGTCCTCTTCTACCTGACGGCTCTGCTGCTCGGTGTGCCGTTTGTCGGGGGGGGGCGCTGCTTCGAGTGCTTGTGGCTTTGGAGCCGAGGCTGCGGGAGCTGGCCTGCAAGCCGCTGCAGTCGCCTTTCTTGCGTCTGACACGCTCCACGGCCTTCTTCGACATCCTGGAGTCCTCGGTCTGGGACCCCGTTTAGCCTTCTTTTTTTTAAGACGCGAGGGCCCCTGGCTCTCTCTCAGGTGCAGCTGGCCTTGAAGCGCTTTCAGCGGGAGACCAAGGGGCCCATGCCGAAAGACCTCTGCGCCAACAAGCGCCTCGGCTCGTGCGCTGGCCCAGGCCCTCCCAATTTGCCTCTCATCCCTTCTGCTTTCGAAGCCGTCAGCTGAGGCTCAAGGGAGGTCCAACAGACAGCCCGCTGTCGCAGCACATGGAGGAGCAGCACCTGAGCCCGTGACTCTTAAATGCCTGGCAATGCTTCAATCTGGAAGAAGATTCAGCACGCAGGACTTCGACCTGGGCCTGATCTTTGAGCACCTCATCGTTTGCTTGAGGCACTCGCTCGTGCAGGCGGGGTCGCGGCGTTTCTCGTCGCTTGGGAGTTCAAAAAGAATCCGTCGTCCGTTAAGCAAAAATGCAGCCGAGAAATAGTCCCTGCGGCTAGGCCCTGTACGTCGCGCCGGAAGTGAGCACGAAGCTGCTGCCGTGGGCATGGATCTCTCAGGACTGCGGTGGCCGGAGTTTTCAGGGATGCGCCGGTGCGATTTTGTGCGCTGCAGATCCAAAAGCTTACACAGGAGCGGCTGCCCATGCACAAGCACGTGATGAACTGGCTACCACAGATCGTCAAACGCTACAAGTCCGTCCCTGCAATCTGGATGCGTGTAAGGAGTGACCCTGCAGCCAGGAGCCTGCGAGGGCATGTCAACAAAAGTTTATCGTTTAACTTCGAAGCAAGAGTGCAGTGAGACCCGCAGTGCACCAACAATTGGGACAAAAGCTTTGCGACAGACCAGGAATGCCTGCTCCAAGCCCCCCACTTGCCTATACACCTAGGCAATTCGCACGGAGACGCTTCGGTACTTTGCCTGCGCCGCTTCCTACGAGGTAGCACCCTATGCACGTCCGCAGGACGGTGTGAATTCGACAGAAAATTTTGGCTAGTGGCTAGAGGTTGAGGTTGCTGCTCGGCCAGGATGCACAGCGAGGATGACGCTTACTTATTGAGAATTGCAAGGTATTGTGCCTGAAGATGTGGAGCCCAGCAGCCTTTGACGTAGGATTTCCAGTCACTCCGGGATCCTTCAGATCGCAAGACGCGGGCTGCCCCATGCAATGCCGAGCATCCCAGACCTGCAGACAGATGCCTTTCTGGCTCCTGAACTCTACACCCCCCGACCATGATCAAAATCCCAAAGTGAGTCTCGAACCCAGAATGCACATGTTGACTTGCCCTGAAAGCCGAAGGATGCTGAATTGGAGTTCGAAGAGGAGGAGGGCGAGGTCAAGAAGGCAGTTCACACAGCTTTTCACAATTGCCTGAAGCTTGCAGGGCGCACTCATGCTCCAGACATCAGTCCGGCTGGGCGCCGACGAAGACGCATCGCGTTTTTGCATGGCAGAAACTGTACAAGGGGAGCCCAGCCCGAGAGATTGGAGACGCTCTCAGGGCAGCCTGCTAAGCTCCGGAAACCCTGGTATCAGAACCAAGCCAAGTCGTCTGCACGACGCTCCGATCACGTTCCTATCACTGAAGACTCTGAGCTTCCCCCAATCACCCCAGAGGTGAAAACGGATGTGGAAGCTGATATGGCTGCGGACATGACTGTGCCGGAAGCTGTCGACGACGACGAGGAGCTGGAAGCATTTCCGCATCTGCCTCTGACGGCTGACGCACTGTCAGTGTCGCGTCTTGTGGGCCGGTTCCCGATGTGGTTCTCCCTGTCTGCACAACGGAGGGAAGACTTCTCGCAGAGAGTTGTGTTCGTAAGGTGAGAGACGGCTACTTGCGGAGTCTTTGCAGAGCCGGGTGACCCCCCAATCCTCAAGTGTAAGAGGGCTATCTCGTCCCACGGACGTCGACTACCGTGTTGCCGAGCGTCCTCAAGCGTGTCAAGTCCTTTCGTTCCTGGGTCAGTATGATGGCACTCTTGGCTATTCGTCCACCATCTACGACCCGCAGACGAAGCCGAACATAAGGAGAAGATCAAAGGTGATGTTCCAAGCTGTACCCGCCTTGAAGGAAGTCTTGGATGTGTCCCCGAGCGAAGCTCTTGGGCCTAAAGAGGTCGCAGAGGCGAGACATCAGGTGCGCCCAGCCCTGCCTTCGCTTATGACGTGTCAGACGCCAAGCCTTCGCTCCTGTGGAGGTGGTGGAGTCCGAACCGGAAGGGCGCTTGGCCTTCGGAGGTCTGCTTGCAGAATTATGCCTTGCCCTTCTTATGCTCTCTCTCTCTCTCTCCCCCCTGTGTGTGTGTGTGTGGCAACCCTGTGTCCAAGGGTGTTCACGTCGTAGTCATACATATATTTCAGCAGGGGGCAGCGACAGAGTATTTGGGATCGCTGCCAACGAAGACGCCCATTTAGGTATGTACCTGCAACATGTTTGTGACGTACTCAATCGTACAAGCCGTACATTGATGCATCCTGGCTATCCTGGTTGTACTTGGTGCGACGCCGCTGGATGGCGAAGGGCCCAGCCAAGCACCCCATCTTGCCGCAGCTTTACTTGCTTTTGTCAATGGTGCGTTGCAGTTAGGCAGGGCTACTTCTTGCTGTCCCCCTTCGACATTCCTGTCCACGTGCTGACATGTCAAAAGTTACCAGTGTGTGGACATGTAGGTCCTGGGCACTGGTTGGCTTCCTTCGCATAAATCAAACCTGAATTAACATGCCGTGTGTAGTCCGACGGGACGGCGGTGTATGCTTCGGTGCTGCACTCAGATCCTCCAAGTCCGGAGGCGCCAATTCGCAGTGTCAGCGCTTAGCCTGCGGGGGCACAGTTCGATGCCTGTGCTAGTGAAGCCTCATGGCCCTACCGCTTCTCATGGCCCCACAAATTCAGGCTTCATGCCAACCAAAAGCAGCGTCATGCAATCACAACCAAGGAACATGGCAGGCAGGTAATTTGGTGACCTAACTTTCTAGTTGTTTTGTGTGTTTTCGGTTAGTGGTTCTCAGACTTAGCGTGCTTTTGCGGTGCCTTACCGCCATGCCTCCTGTGCCTCCTCGGCCTTCGTGTGCACCGGCCTGGGCCGGCCCAGTTCGCGGACACCTCGACCACGACATCCTGCCGAATCTGCGGCCCCATCCCCATCTTCCTCTGCTTCCAGCTCTTCGTCTACTTCGCCTTCACCGCCGACAGGCACACCCCGGGCCGCGCGCCTCTACTCTGTAGCGTGGCACCTCCTTTGGCACCTCCCTTGCCGCCACCGCCTTCGGGACCTACTACATCGCCTACGGCCTCTACTTCTGCCCTGCATGATGTTACTCCGTTGGCCGTGTCTGCTTTTTGGCCTGGCCTGCAGCCTTCACCCGCCAACACGACGTTGCCTGCAGCCACCCTTCCTGCCGCGGTTTCCACCACTGCCACTGTAACCACAACTACAACTGCACCTGCAGCTGCAACCGCCAGTCGATCCGTCGACGCTGGCAGCGTGTTGGGGATGCTCATCCACTGCCTCACGGAGACAGGCCAACTGGAATTTTATGTGGAATCTGTCAGGCCGAGCTCTACCGTCAACGGCGGCCGAAGTGTCCGATGGGACACCGTGTACCATGCGCTCGTCCGTCGCCGCTCCTTATTGTTTGCTTTACCAGACCTTCTTGACGCCGGTGTCAGCATGGACCTGCCTTTTCAGGCGGACGAACGGCCCAACTAGTGGTTCATGCTCGAGTTCACCCCGCTAGCTTTCAACTTGCCTTTGAGCGTGTGGAACTGCCACCTAACAATCCCGGTGGTTCCGGTGTGCCTATGCTTCGTGCGGCTTTGCCATTCCCGCCCGCTGAACATCGCCTACGTGGAGCTCCGCCTTACGCTTGGTTTGGTCACAACACGACTGTACTGTGGCAACGGCATTGAGTGTGCTCCGGGAAGGTCATCTCCGGCCATCCAGTTTTGAGCCCTCCGATACCTCCTGGATTCCGTCAGCGGCCTTTTACGCGCGCGGAAGGCGCGTTTTGGTTGACTTCGCGCGCCCCAGTGCTCCTACCGCCCAGCACCTTCGCAGCAACCAGGGCGGAGTTGTCCCGGAGAACGCAGCGTCCTTGACAAATCGTTTCAACGTAGTTTAAGACATCGTTGCGAGATCGCTGCTCTTCAGGCTTTTGGTTCGAGATATGACTTCTCAGGTGTGTAGTACGTGCTCCAAGTTCGATTGGGGGCTCAGAGTAACACCGGACGGTCGTGCCTCCTGTGGTATCTGTCGTGCTTTGGATCGCATTCGGGGCGTATGTTTGAGGCCCCCTTCTGAGTCTTCATCAAACATTGCTTCTCTTCCTTACGATACGGAGGCACGACTCAGGGATCTCAGGCACTTTGGTGGTACACTACCGGTTGGCGCCCCTGTTCGTTTGGAACCTCCTGCGGGCGAGAGCTTATCCCAGATCCTTACTGTAGGAGGTGAATACAAAGTGCATGAGGTCCAGGCTAAAGCCAGTAGTTCAGGGTCACATCCTCGCGATAGACGGGCGCCCGTGTCTACTGGAGTGCCTGCTTCGGCGAATCGTGTGCCTGTTGAGCCTCCTGGACCCCCTCCCGGTACATCATCGCGCAAACGGCGCAAGAAGAACAGGGGTTCACGTCGCCGTGATTGGCAAGGTTTGCGCTGTGGTATCAAGCGTGGCCGCGACGCCGATTTGGGCGGTGAAGACTTCGATTGGAGCAGCTCCTGCAGCGAGTTAGAATGAGGAGGCGGGGCGGTTTGGTTGCTGGTGTTGTCTTCTGAGGCTTATGAGCTCGCGTGGGCGAGTGAAGAAGAAGACTGGCTTGAAGGTTGTGAACACTCGGTCTCCTTCACTAGGAGGCGGAGGAAAGGTGAGGACATACATTGATCACAAAGGAAAGCTTGCTCGCGGAGGCACATTACGGATTGGTGTGTTACCTTACAGCTTTTCGGATTTGGGCGCTACGTACCAGTTTATTGGGGAATACTGGGGTTCAACATGCAACGCAGTGGGTCGTTTGGAGTGCATTACGCTGGGAAGCGGTGGGGCTCACGCCCAAATCCTCCTCAAAGGCACGGACAGTCAGGAGTTGAAAGCCTGGGCCGAGAGTGTGGTGATGAGCGGAAGCACCCCAGAGATGTCCGTGCACCTTTGCCCCGCCAACTGCCCCAAAACCGCACTTGCTCGAGGAGCTTTGCGCAGGACAGCCGTGCGCAGCGAGGACACTGGGGCAGCATGGGCAGGGAATGTAGAGAAGATCGTAGCCCCAGTCGAGATAAGTGGGGAAAGCGCTTTGGAAAGGGAGTTGCGAGACATTGCCCCAGAGAGGAGAGAGCCAGCTATTCACACAGAGAGCAGAGAAGCCGACCGCGAAAATCTCAAGACAGGGCACCGCAGCTTCAAAGGAACACCGCTGGACACCAAGTGCAGCGCCCGAAGCCTTCTGAGGAATCGGCGGAAGAAGAAAAAGAAATCAAAGAAGGCAAAGAAGGATCGCCGAAGCGGAAAGGGACATCGCAACGAAAGCAGCAGCGCAACAACACCATCAGTTCCAGCAGCAGCGGCGGGACCATCAACTCCACCGACTCAGAACACCCTTTCAAGGAAGGACACCGAGTGAAACGCCTGGCCAAGAAAATCCCCGGCATTCTATGCAGACACGCTCTAGACGAGATGAGCCGCTTGCTAGTCCAACACATGGGAGAAGAGAGTGCGACACTATTTGCGTCTCCATGTTATGATGAAGAGCCTTCTTCCGGCACAGAAGAGGGAACTGTTGACCTTGGGATATGCCGTGGACAAGTTGCTTCGTCGGGATGTGTTGGGGCCCTGGACTTGATGATTCAGCGCGTCAAAGCTATCGAGCTTGTACTCGGAGGATCCGCCTGGGCAGTCGCTCAGAATTTAGAGCTCGTTCCGCTAGAGCAGGACATGATAGCCAGCGTTGCCGAAGCCCAGGGCGCAGCTCGGGAGCTCAGAACGGAAAGCAGGGTTCAGAGAGAATTAGGAAAAGGGGGCAAATGGAAATGGAACGAGGATTGGAAAGGCAAGAAGGGAGATGGAAAGAAGGGCGATGGGAAGCGGAAGTGGGGCGCGAAGGGGGACGCGCACGCTCAGATGGTGAGCCGTGCAGACCCCGTGAAGCCTCAGTGAAATCGCCTGGAAAAATGGGCCCAGGTACTGGTCCATCCTTGGGAGCCCCCAAGGACCTGGGCCAGGAGAGGGTTCGGATCAATGTCCGAACGTGGGGCCCAGGACACCCGGTGCGATGGGAGAAGGTTTTATCAGTGATTCACTGAGCGCTGTTATTCTGGAAGCATTGTTGAGCGGATGTGATTGTGGCTTCAGTTCCGTAGTGTCAACATTCTGCGAAGGGAAGGAAGCTTGTATGGTTGGGGAGAGAGCTGCGAGAGCCAGTATCTTTCCACTGCCCCTGCCCGACAATCAAGACATTATGACAGCGTGTGAGAAGAAAGATGGAAAGAAGTTGTGGCTCTTCCTCCTGCTGGTTGGTTTGAACTATTTGAATGCAGGGCAGTTACATGCATGGACTGTTATCACAGAACCCCACTCCAATCAGCTTTTTGAACGCTGGGAATGTCATGTTGAACGCTGGGAATGGCACGCGGAACTTCGCACGTTGCCATGAGAGGTCTCTGCCATGATGGAACGTCATCGACTTCAACATTGTCGAGCTCACCCTCTTCATCGTGATGCACTCACAGTCCTATATCGACGTCCCTTCTTTCCCCGTGACCGAGAAGGTTCGTTTGAGGAACTTGACTAGGCGCTTGACTGGAGCCGACAACTGCGGATAAACAATGACCCCGCTACGGCGGGGTGTGTGTGTGTGGCAACCCTGTGGCCAAGGGTGTTCACGTCGCAGTCATACATATTTCAGCAGGGGGCAGCGACAGAGTATTTGGGATCGCTGCCAGCGAAGACGCCCATTTAGGTGTGTACCTGCAACATGTTTGTGACGTACTCAATCGTACAAGTCGTACATTGATGCATCTTGGTTATCTTGGTTGTACTTGGTGCGACGTTGCTGGATGGCGAGGGGCCCAGCCAAGAACCCCATCTTGCCGCAGCTTTACAATGCTTTTGTCGATGGTGCGTTGGGGTTAGGCAGGGCAACTTCCTGCTGTCCACCTTCGACATTCCTGTCCACGTGCTGACATGTCAAAAGTTACCAGTGTGTGGACATGTAGGTCCTGGGCACTGGTTGGCTTCCTTCGCATAAATCAAACCTGAATTAACATGTTTTGTGTGTGTGTGTGTGATTGCGTGCGCAGCCCTCTTCCAGCAATGTAGCATGTGGAAAGCTCTTTCGCTTCCGCTTTACAAGGCCTGGTATCCCTGCGGCAATCTGAGCTGCGCCTCTTCCTTGCAGAGGAGCTGGAGCGGTCAGAGGCCGGAAGTCGGAACCGGACCCCAACTCCCTGATACGGCCCTTCTGAGTGCAGTTCCGGTCAGCCAGCCTTTTATTTCTTTGGCTGCTGAGTTGCATCCGACAGCCCCAGGACATGAACGCCCTTTGCTTGGCCATGCTCTGCGTTGCAAACTTTGCGGCGTACGAGCGGAAAGTCCTGGCGGATGAGAAGGGGGGCCAGAAGCTTGGGAAGTATCTGCCGCTGGAGGACTCAAGACTGAAAATGCAGAAACTCAGAGCTTTCGAGGCCGAGCCGGAGCCCCGAACCGCCCTATGGCCACGAATTGTTTTGCGGCCGTTGCTGAGTGTAGGACATGGCTCGTCTTCTTCGGGGCGTGGTGAGAACGCTGAAGTCTATCCCCAGCCACATGGCCTTCGTAAATCCCGGGTGGGAGGAGGCTTTACGGTTTGAAGAGCATGGAGGCTCGGCGTCACAGCGTCGGGCTTTGCAGTAGCAGCCGTTCTGCTCCAACCTGAGGTTTCAAGCTCTGGATAGAATTGATTGAATTCAGGTCACCGCCATGCCGGTGCATTCGAGGTTGTTTGTCCGGTCTCCGGACTCATCAGATATGGAAGCAGCTCACTGTGGTTGTCAGTCCGTCTTACGACTTGAGTTTTCCTGCAGACTGGTGAGGCTTTGATGACGACAGTGTGGCCAACACCATGACCCTTCATGCCCTTCGCTTCTTCTGCCGCTTGCCTTTGCAAGCGGTGCCGGCTGTGAGTAAACGTGACGGTGCAGTTCCCTGTAGGTGAGTCTGGCAGGTCGTTAGAAGATTTGGTGAAGATTTGGGATTACGTTTCATCACAGTTTCAAGTCTCTGCACGTCACGCTAAACTGCTACTTCTGCGTCTCCTGCTGTTTCTGCTGCTACTCCTCCCTTCCCCAGGGTCTGAGTCGCCTCGAGTCACTCCTCCTCTTGCTCGTGCTCGGCAGTTTTTCCTTGCAGCGCCATGACTAGTAGCACCATCGGCCAGGTCTCAGTAAACGCCAGAGCAGCGCGTAAGTGCCACAGTGCATGGCTCGTCTCCTACTGAGGCAATCTCCTGGCCTTTGAAATCGATTTCATCACTGCCGAGCTACAGCATCTGAATGCTGCTTGGAGCCATGGGAGCCTGAAGCATCCTCATGCTGTATCGATATCCTTCGATGTTAGAACGAAGATCTTGGTACTGGACTCCTCAATTCACAAACTCTCACCCAAGACATTCCAGAAGATAAAGCAGGTTCTCTCGGTACTGCGAAGACTGATGTTCACAGTCGACAGGTAGCTTGTAAAAGTTGAACCTAGCCCCTGCTACAAGCTCAAGGTGCTAGAAGAAGTGGGCAAGCTCTTCGACCATTGGTTCAAGGACGAGGCCTGGGTGAGCTGTGGACGGCGGTCCGTGTTGCACCATGGGGCCCGGCCGGATGACGAGAGTCGAGAGTCAAGCTGCGCAGGACAAGATTGAAGATGACAAGCTGTTCCTTCAGACCCTCCAGAGCTTTATCCTGCTCCTGAGGTGGGAGATCAGAGGTCGCAGTGAGCTTCGAAACCAATGGAAACCCAGAATGTCGAAGTCAGCCACACTTTTACCCGCATTCCTCATTCCTCCTCATTCCCATTGAACTGACCCGGCCTCGGCTCCGTCACTCCTCGCCTCTGACAGGAACTGGGCCTGCGGCAGCTGCCGAGCAGAGACCGGGCCAAGTCGTCGAAAAGGGCTTTAACCAGAGCAGACTTTGAAGATGGATGGTCTGGATTAGCTTGTGCTCAGAACCAGGCTCCGATGTTGAAAGCGCCCCAGCCTTGGGGATCAAAGGAGATGAATGTCCGCGAGAAGAAGGAGAACGGAACGAAAGAAGAGAAGGAGACTCCACATGATGCTTCCATTATTTGGGAGGTAGGTACAAGGTTCATAATTTTCAAGAGTCTGCTAGGGCGGAGAGCACTCCCCGATGTCGTAGGCGGAGTTGCTGGAAAGCTGCTCGTTGCTTCAGTCCCCTGCGTAGGACTCCGCGACGAGCCTCCTTAAGGTCTTCAAGCAAGGCATCGATGTGCCCTTCCTCATTTCTCTGACCATGAGGTGCTTTGGGCTGCAGCCGACCTTCCCCAAAAGCTACGAAAAGCCTGTAGTAGGCCCCTGCACAAGACGGCACAAGAACAAGAGACGTTCAGCCAATGCACACCTTCCTGCGCGATCTCGAGATCTGCGATCCTCAGGTTCTCGAAGATTTTGATCAACGGCCGCCGCCCCATCGAAGGAAAAGCGCAGCACCGAGCAAACGTCATCGTCGATGCTTCTCGGCTGGAGAACCGAAGGATGCTAGGTATGCAGGATTGTGCTTCAGGGCATGATCTCAGCGACAGTTTAGCGAGAAGCGCAGCCCTCTCGTGAACAGTCAAGGTTTTGGTGATCCTCCAGACGTTGCTGAAGCGCACAGACCTGCTTCACAACATGGACTGGACCAAGGCCGGCCAGCAAGCTGCAGGGGCTTGTGGGCTGTGTTCTGCACCAGGTCGACATCATTGATTACGAGAACTTCCTACAGCTCGTGAAGATGCTCGGCCTGTGTTTAAAGACCCCTAAAAAGACGCTGAGATGTGGTCGGTTGCGTGTCGTTTCTTCTCACGTACTGTGGGCCATGAGAGAGTCGGGTAGAGGTTCGCCTTGGCTAGCCCAAGTGGAGATCGGTAAGCCAACAGACAAGGACGTACCGCCTGCGAGACTCGGAGATCCTGGAGGATGAGCAGATCCTGAACACGCTCTACCTCATGGCGCCTGGGGCTGTTCATGGAGTTGTGTTGCGGCGGGTTGCTGTTTCAGTCGTCCCTTCGAACTGCCGGGAAGGAAGCGGTGTTTCTTCTCTTCAGTGGAAACTGACGTTGTATTTCGCCATCACTATGTAAGTTGCGCAGTCTCGCAACTCAAGGGTCACAAGAAAGAAAGTGGAAAGCATTGCTGTCTAGTGGCTCCTCGCCATCATGTCCCGGACGCGCAAAAGCGCCAAGGTGAAGCAAGCCTTCCCTTTTAAGGGCCTCGTCTTCCTGGAGTACCTGTCGCTGGGCATCGGATTGGGGATTTCATTTGGAGCCTGACATGCTCTTGGACGGGGCTCAGGATGGAGGTCGCCTACGGCGACCATCGGGAGGAGCACACAACGCTGCAGGACATGGCGGCTGTCTGCTGCGCCATTATCTCTACGCAGAGCCTCAGCTTCAGATGGTCTCTAAGATCTCTGTGCTTTTGTCCCCACGACTTTTTTTGTTTGATTCCCTGACCTGCAGCACCCAGAACACAGTTTGAAAAGGAACGCCACCGACGCCAGCACTCCCACCGTGAACGTGGCCAGCGTGGTGAAGGACAACGCGGCGTTCGTCCATGCCCTGTGCCTTGGGTCATGCATGCTTTCGTGACTCCGCTATATTTGCTAGAAGCGAAAGCTGTCTTGCATTAGCTGAGGAAAAGTGGAGCTCACTAAATCTAGCTGTTCAGAAGTTGACAGAATGTGCCGTGTTAGTTGATGTCTCGCGCCAGTGCGCTTAGTCAACCCACAAGAACCAGAGCTCCCAGGGCCCGTGTGCCGGATCCCAAGATGCAGATCTGGCACTACCGGCTCTTGACGGGGTGGAGCCGGCGACCAAAGGCCTACAACGGGCCAGAGAGAGGTTCTCAGCATTAATGTCTGGAGTGAGTGTCGACCTGGGGTGCTCTCTGGGTCCCAGTCTACTGTGCATCTCTCCCACACACAGCTCTGAAGTTTCTATTCAAGCTCAGGCTCAGTGCACTGCTTTGTGTTTTGTTGCGCGACCAGTGAACATCATGAATGTTTTATGCTTGTCAGGTCCTGGATGACCTGGTTGGAGATGCCGAAGCACTGAAGCTCCTTAGTGACTGATTTGGCTCGTGTAACTTGGGTCTTTGACAATCGCATCAGGAAGGACAGGGGAAGCTTGTAGCTGTGCTGGACATGTACTGGAGCCGTTTCCTCCCCATGGTAGAACTCACACTTGGACTGCTTACAGTTACAGGCATGGTCGCTGAAGGAATCCTTCTGTGCCGTTTTCCAGCCGGGTTCATGTTTATCAGCAACTTCTTCAGTGTGACTGAGATGAGACTAGGCTCACTGTTATTTTCCGGGATGGAAGTTTACGAACCCGGGGCACCGAATGCATGAGTCAATGTTGCATCACAGGCGCAGTCGGTAGAAGGAGTTTGCCACGGTCAAGGTTCATCGTGGACCACCTGCTGGAAACGCACCTCTGTCGATACAGCGTGGTCATCGTTCACAATATCAGCATGCACCTCGACGCTTCAGACATCTTCAGATCTTCAGACGCAGACCTATCCAAGTACAACAGACTATTTTTGATGGTCCACAACTGCGGCAGCAGACTGGCTTTTCCCGACCTGCATCTTACCCAAGAAGCACAGGAAAGGCAGAGGTTGCAGTGCGCGGTGCTTGTGACTGGTGAACGACACGCTTTGTTTCATTCAACACGCTGTGAAGCCAGCCCCGCCATTCTGCTCCGAAGAGAACGTGGCCCTGAAGGCTGCGGAGCGGGGCGCTGATCTCCAAAGAAGGGCACCTCTCCACCATCTGTGAGGCCCGTGGATCATAGTCATAGTCGGCTTTGCGATTTTTGCTTTTGGCTGCCCTCTTGCTGCGTCATGCAGCGATGTCAGTGGAGAGTTCAGACCGAAGTCCTTCCTGATGCCCAACGGAGCCTTGTCGGAGGCCTACCGTCAGCTCAAACCTGGCGCCACACTGCACCGTGCGGACGAGGACGCCGAAGGGCAAAACAGCTAGATGGGAGGGGTTTGTTTGAGGTTGAGATTTGCGTTTGCACACGGCATCAGCGGGATGCTCCAGAGACAGTGTCGACATCAAGTACGCTAAGATTTCTGGTGCCATCAGACGAGGTTTGCCTCCTGGGGAACATGTACATACATGTACATAGATGATTACCTGCCTTCGGCTTGGAGTTTCCTCATTATTGTCGTTGTGACCTGCCCGCACAGTCGCGGCGAAAGTCTGGAGGGTGATTCGTTGACCTTGCGCGATGTCACAGTTTCGCTGCCGGCAACTGGCTTATGTTTTGTGTCGCCCTCGGATGGATCTGTTTGAATCTCTTGTTTCGGGGAATCTGTCTATGTATTTGGCAGCTTTGGTGGTAGGCTGTGTTCTACTGCTATGGGAATGAGTCGGAATAGCTGATGGCACTTGTTGTCAGATACTAGGAGTTGTTGTGAAGATGTTGAGTCGACATGGAGGGCCCGAGGTTGTCTTGGTCGTGTCGAGAGTTGGTGTGTGCATTGTGTTTCTTGCTGTGATGTGGTTGTAGATATTGCAGCTGCTGGCTTGCAAGAAAGGCGTTCGACTGTGTTGTTCAGTGGAAGTGCTTGCCGCAACTTCGTTGTCTGGTGACGTGCCTCCACCGAGAAGGTGCTCCGTCGCTGACACCTGCATGTTGTCGGCACCCACCCCACTGAGGATCAGCGTCGGCTCTTGCGCCGCCTCCTACTTGCCAGTGTACGAAACTGCTCCTCGACCTTTCCATCAGCCTCATGCTTTCGGGGGCATTGAGACTCGAAAGCGTAGATTTCTCCCACCACGTTACTGCAAGGTGGTTCGATGGAATCTGTTCTTGTCAGATTTGAAGCAGTGTCGGACATCAGAAACAGGCACCGCCCAAGAGGGCCACGAACCTGTCGAAGACTGCAGCCCAGGTTTGTGGAACTCCTCAGAGATCCACAAGGATCTTGCAGAGAGCGATGCCTGGCGCAGATATAGGCGTGACGAAGCATGACCCTCCCAACTTCTACTTCTGCTGGGTCAGACAAGTCTTGGCCAAGGATATGGGCAACATCATCCACCTGGTGTCGTGCGTGGAGGTGGGCATGTTTCTCACACCGAGTTAGATGATAATGTAAAGGAAAGCTAGCAGCAAGGAGCCGGACTTGCCGTTCTTCATGGCCATGAGCCTCGGCACACAAGTTCACGGCTTTATATTCCGACGGGATCTTCCTCGTCTTTGCTACTCTTCGAAGATGGAGCATGAATTTCCAAGCCTCAGCTTGGAGAAGCTTGCAAGCTTGGTGGTCTTGTGTTCGTTTTTTTTTGTTTGTGCCGGCAACGACGGCAAAACACGTCTGCTGAGCGAAGTCGAACTCCTCGCCTTCCAAAATTCCAGAACAGCACCCAGCATCTTTGTTCCACCCTCCAAGGATCATGTACATCTCGGAAGGCTGTAACATCAACCGTGTCCGGCAAGTCATGTACGGCCTCTGGGCTGCACAGCGGGTTGGACAGGTTCGCATGGATGTGGACCTAGACTACTTGGTCAAAGGGTATCAAGGGTGTCACGGATGAACAAGAGCCTGGAATGAGATTGAAGCCTGTAGCTTGACTGCTTTAACGGCTTGCCCTCGAATACATCCTGACTGCAAACAGGTTCACGGCGACATCGTGCGTACCGCATGCCAGGGCGGTGTGATTTACTCGAGTTGCATCATCTTGCTCCTTAATTCGCGCCAAGGCAACGCACAGATGCTGGAGCTCTTTGTCCGGTGCATGTTCCAGCAGGTCAGAAAAGAGTGGTGCAAGGGGTCGGCACCCTGCACCACGAGCGAGCAGTAGCTACGGCGTGTAGTGGCAGATGCCAGGTGGCATTTAAGTAGCGAACTTTTGATTCGACGGAGAATGTTGTCTTTTAGAGTCCTACAAGAGTAGAGATGGCAATGCGCTCCGAAGCAAGCTTCCGTCACGAACAGTTTCGGTCGGTCTGCTTCTGTCATGCACCTTTTTCAGGCTTCAGCAACTCAGACTTGAACCAGAATGAAAGATTTCGACAGTCCGACAGGTCACTGCGTGCGTAGTGAACATGGACGCCCCGAAGTTCGAGTCCAGCCTGTATGGCCTCATTACGGAAGAGGAGCCGGAAGCTGGGGGTCATTGGAAAGAAAGCACTCTGCCTTGAGATGGCTTGAGGGACGTTTCCAGGGCTTCCGTCTCGACTCCCAAGCCTCAAAGCAGTAAAGGACGAGTTCTCTCCAAGCCCAGTTTTCCTGCAGGAAGCACGGCGGGCAGAGCAATACGAGGCCCTGGTGGAGCACCAGGATGCCATCTCCTCAGCACCCAAGCAACTTGGCCTTGGCGGTAGCGAAGTGCTATCGCCATGATTCTTGCGAAGGTTTTGATATGTTTTGATGACATTGGGCTTTGGAAGTAGAGACGATCTACCCGCAAGCGGAAGCCCAGAGCTGAAGAGTCTGTGCCTTTGAGATCGAAATTCTGACAATTCCCACGCGGGCTTTTTTCTGAGCCCCGAGCAGCTCCAGTCCATGCAGCTTGTCCCAGGAAGCAGACGGAGGCCTATAAGAAGCTCCTTGCAATCCCGGGCTCGCCGGCCGCCCGCGGCTTGGGGAAGACCGCAAGCCTCTACCAGAGGCGACTTGGGCTTACTTGGTGAGGTTTCTACATTTGTTGGAGTGGCAGATTGCTGTGTCAGTCTGCATGTGTTGTAGTGAATAGAACACAGTAGAACCAAGTCCCGTCCTCTGAAAATTCGGCCCGGACCCACACTCGACTTGGCCTTCGCAGATGTGTTGGAGCAAGCTATCCGAAAAGTAATTTCAGAACCAGTATCGGAAAGTCACATAATCACCCGAGACCAACTCTAGCAGGGTTGGGTTATGTTGGGTCAATGGGCCACTCTCATGCATCGGAATTTGCAAGGAGCCGGCGCAAGGGACTCCATCCTGTCTCAGCAGCATCTTGGCAGTTGTCGGCTGCGAGCCGCCGCGAGCTCTCGGCCATCCTAAACCCCAAACCTTCTTGAAAGCACTGAGCATGCAGACTTCAGCAACGGAGCTTCAGCACCGAGGAGCGGTGGCTGCAACTTTCAAGTGTCAAATCACCGAGGCAAAAGGCGAAATCGGGTCCTCGCTTGGCGGCGGTGGTGGTGGCCGCAAGTTCTCGGAGGCCTTGATCTGGGATCCGGAAAAAAACCTTAACGTGAGGGATAAGCGATTCACTTCGAGGCGTCCGTTCCGTTGGCAGCACGGCTTGCCATTGCCACTATCCTCGTTGATGCTTTTCCTCCGGTCATAGACTTTCGATTACTTTCAGACAGTATCACCTAAGTCCGAGACTTAAATCCGGCCGAGTCGTGACTGCACAGGTGGAGGAGAGGCGCGGGCAGCAGGAATTCCTCTACTTCTCTGCGGTGGAGCTGCTTACTTTCGGCACCTTTGCTGGGGATGCTTGGCGACGTTGCGACGTTAGCCCCGTGCAGCTGTGTAGAACTGTTACACTGTTGGACTTAGGATGAGCATGACCAGAGGGACCCTCCCCCGGAGGAGGCCGAGCCACACAGGCACTGGGGGCACACAGCGGAGCGACCTTGCTCTCATTTGATTGCTCTTTGTTCGCCGTCCTTCCCTGGAGGGCGGAGGTTGTCGAGGCGTTGCATGCAGCCTTCAGCAAGTCTCCAGGACGATTTATGTGGATCTTGTTTCGTGATTCGCCTGAGATCGAAGTTCGGGAACTCGTTTTGCTGAGGCAGCATGTCGGATAAGACAGTTGTTATCGGTTGTTAGTTAGTGTGTTTTCAGTAGCAGTACCAGCTGGTGTGAAATCGAAGATGATTCAGGCCTATTGATGCAGCTACGATGATTTAACAGCGACTGCCTTGACCAGCAGATATGACGAGAGCTGTCGAGGTTCCCAATGGCGAAGTTCCTCAAGAACTTGGCAGAGCAGGTTGCCTGGAAGTAGTCCACGCAAATATATCTGCGATTGCGGCAGCATCACCAGAGGGGTGGGCCAGTCGATGTCCCTAGATCTACAGACTGGTGGTTGGTCGGTCGCTGCCAGGAATGAGAAAATTTCGCTTCAAACGAAATTCAAGCTTGCCATCTGCGAAAAGACACGCATCTCTTGGGACATACTACACGCTTGTGATGGGCAGGTGCAAAATCACAAGAACCTCAAGGTCGTGCTGTCAGACATGTTCGTGCACGTAACGACCAAGTTCCTGTGGCACTGCTGGACTCAGTGTTTCGGCAGCGTCAACTGGGCAACTTGCAGCGTTGGAGGTTTGATTCAAAGACACCAGGAGCCCTGCAATTTCAGCCCCCGACCCAAGGCTTGTTCGAATTGCAATTCGCCATGAACCGTTCTACAGCACTCAGGCCTATCTTCAAGAAGTACCTAGACACTCCGGCAAACTTGCAGATCATCGCACAGCTCATCCCCTTCTTCATCAGTTGGCCGAACCCGGACGTTCAGAACATGATTGCTGAGGCGCTGAACGGTTCGGAGTTCCCGCTGCGGTCAGGGTAACTCTGGGGGCTTTTAGACCCGAATTCAGCAGAGCGAGTGTGAGGCTGTGTCTTGAAAGGTCTGCCTGTATGGAGGGCTCCACAGATTTACTTCTGTCTGCGACATCCTCATTGCCGAGTATCGGGAGTACCCGGAGCCGTGGCGGCCAGTTTACACAAACAACAAGCGCCGACATTGCAGCCAGCAGAGAAGATGTGGCCCTCAGCATGCAGCATGCGCATCTTCTTCATCTGCACCACAACCATCATCATCATCATCATCATCGTCATCGTCATCGTCGTCATCATCATCGCCACCATCATCATCGCCATCATCATGAACATCGTCATCATCGTCATCATCATCGTCATCATCGTCATCATCATCGTCATCATCGTCAACATCATCATCGTCATCGTAATCGTCATCGTCATCGTCATCGTCATCATCATCATCATCATCATTGTCATCATCACCATCACCACCACCACCGTCATCATCATCATCATCATCATCACCATCATCACCGCCACCGTCAACATCATAATCAACATGACCACCACCACCACCGTCATCATCATCATCATCATCATCAACATCAGCATCAGCATCATCATCGTCATCGTCATCGTCATCGTCATCGTCCTCATCATCATCATCACCACCATCAGCATCACCAGCACCAATCATCAACATCATCATCATCACCATCACCATCACCACCACCGCCGCCACCACCGCCCCCACCACCACCGCCACCACCATCAGCAGCACCACCACCGCCACTGCCACCACCACCACCACCTCATCATCATCAGCATCAGCATCATAATCATCATCATCATCATCGTCATCACCAACATCAGCACCGCCACCACCACCATCACCCTCGCCTCACCATCACCGTCATCATCATCATCATCATCATCATCATCAGCATCATCACCGCCATCATCATCACCGCCATCATCATCACCGCCATCATCACCATCATTCTCATTATTTTCATCATCATCCTCATCAATATCATCTTTGTGAACCCCCCCTTGACTTTTGCACCATAGTTGAAGCTTCCGTGTTGACCTCCGTAGATTCAGAAGTCCATACATGCGCTAGCATGTATCCCGCCTGAATGCAATCAGCGTCCTGAGTTCAACTGAGAAAGTAGCCATGGTTTTCCGTGCTGTAACTTCGGAAGCCGACATTCGTTCCAAAAAGTAGCGTCATCACGATCACCATCACCACCAGCACCACCTCCACATCATCATCATCATCATCATCAGCATCATCATCATCGTCATCATCATCACCACCATCACCTTCACCACCATCACCCTCACCACCATCACCGTCATCACCACCACCGCCATCATCACCACCACCATCATCATCATCGTCATCATCACCATCATCACCACCACCGTCAACATCATAATCAACATCACCACCACCACCGTCATCATCATCATCATCATCATCATCATCATCATCAACATCATCATCAACATCAGCATCATCATCATCATCGTCATCGTCATCGTCATCATCATCATCATCATCATCACCATCGTCATCACCACCATCACCATCACCAGCATCATCACGATCATCATCATCATCATCATCAGCATCATCATATCATTATGACCGTTGCAATCACCGGTGAATGATGCGGATCCCCGTGGCCACCAACCTCGAGGCTTCATAGTCGCACAGCGTCCTTTCAGAATCCTGAAGGGAGTTCTTCCCTTCAATTTTGTGGACATTTTGGGGCACCCGAACCGGCAGGCTTTCCAGATTCGGCCTTGATCATGTTTCAGCAGTGAATTTGGACAATACTTTTCAAGCAACTTATTGCACCTGTGACCCGCAGAAAACGGTGTTTGGGGTCCTTTGGGTTAGGCTTTAGGGGCGCCCGGCATGCGAACTCTGACAGCATATTATCTGCAACCGTTCTGAGGAAGAGTGTCCAAAGTTTTTAGATATCTTTTGTGACCACTCCATCCGGTCTCCCGACCCAGCGGGAGGCTGTTGGGGATGTGCGGGCTTGTAGATCCCGAATGGTCAGCTTAAGGCTTAAGGGTTGCTTGAACAGCTCTTGAGAATCCGGTTGCGGGTCGATTGCGCATGAGAATCAGATAGAAGGCTTGTCTTTCGACCCGTGCCACATTGGTTCTCCGCCCCCCGTTGCAAACGACTGCCAGAACCAAGGAACTCTCGTGCGCCTTGCTTACGCGCTGTCTGATCAGCCCCATCGAGGAGACCGGGCTAAAGCCCAAGCAGGCCGGGAATCCCTGAATCCCATGCTGCTTTCAAGGTCTGATGCACCTGCCGACAACCACTGTAAAAGCTGAAACCACGCCTGCTGCGGCGGCCAACAGCGACGTCATCCTAAGACGAAGACAAGAAGAAGCATGTAGACCTCATCACGATTCTGGTTGAATTGAAGCCCGTACAGCATTGAGGATTGATGGGCAAGCACGGAGTAACAAGCAGTGAGTGTGGCCATGAAGCTGGTCGAGTCCTGAGTGCTGTGTTGGGGCTGCAAACCAGGCCATTGGCTTCTTGCGCATCTTCGTCTGCTTACTACAGGACGGGCTTCTCAGATGCGACTCCGGTAGAAAGAGACATGGATGAAGTGATACAGACCAGGCGTAGCGAAGAGAGCACCTGCCCTGGCCTTGGAGGAGCGTGCGTTGAGCCACACCGGGCTGAAGCGATTGGCTGTGGGCTTGGAGACAGCTCTGGTCATGGACAACCCGAAGGCAGCCTGTTTGGGCTAGAACTGCAACAGCCTGAGCCCCTCGCAGCCAGCAGGGACTGTGCGCCATCCTCGCCCAACGAGAGCACGAGCTCCTTGCCGAGCTCTTGGAGGCGTCCTGAGCACACTGTGTGTTGGAAGTCCGCAAGCTTTGCTGGTCTGGTGCTCGCTCAGGGCCAGTGGACTGAACACATGTCGCTGCATAATTGGCCTAGCGAGTCCTATAGGCACCCTTCCCTCCAAGCCCTGGTCACGGCGTAAAAGTTTAGGAAAGTCTGGTTCTAGAAACTTGGGGAGATGAAAGCGGTGGGCCTTCCACAGGCATTATCGCAGTTCAGCGAGTCAGCTCGCATCTCAGACGTGATGGCCTTCGGATCGTGAATCTTGTTGAGCCACAAGTTTCTTTTTCGGGCCTGCAAGTTGGGGTCTGGGCATGATGCTGGTCAAGTCCTTCCTTCGAGCAGGTGGAAAGCTCGCTTAACCCTGGGCTCCTCCTTAGTATGCTCTTGCGGCTTCTGAAGACGAACTGCGATCAAATCCACAGGCTGCGGTGAAGCAGTGCATGGTTGTGGCACTGACGAGAACTGTGGGCAAGCACTACAAGGCCGCACAGGGGGCATTTAAAGCTTCAGAAAATTAGCCGGAGTCGACGAAGCTGTGTTTCCTCCTTGCGCAGCCGCCTCACCGGGCTGGGCCTAGAGCCTAGGCCTAGGCAGTTCTTCGCATTTATCTTCCTTCACTTCTGCAAACAACTGTGGGCATGAATGCGCCAGGCATTGCCCGAGCTGGACGACTTCATCTTGTACACCGGTCACATTTGGAGTGTAAGTGTGGTGAACTTCAGAACAGCGCGCGCTTCGAAGGTGTGTTTACAAGACGCAGAGACGGCGAATCTTCCATGCGGCTTCCTAGGCGCATCTTGGACATGTCGGTCCCTCTGCTGGATGCCGAGACGCGCCCTTAGCTTTACTCAGGTGTAAAGGTCCAGTCCCACTCCTCTGCTGTTGCTCGAGCCATGTTTCACTGTCCCAAAATTTGAGCGCTCCATTGCCATACGGACAGTAGCAGGCAGGGAGTGCAATGCATCCGTGGGCAGCCATCGCATTAGGGCTGGGGTGCGACTCTCCAAGTTCCACTTCACCTTTCGATCTCTCAGGTTTACGCTCTATATGCCTGTGCTCTACAAGGTGGCGAGCGAAGGTGGGCGACGTGCGACTGGATCGCAAAAAGCATCTAATTGTACCCAGCCCGGCTGACTCCTTGACCATTTCTTGATGGGTCGTCCTCAGGAGCTACTGTTAGATTAAGGGGTCTTCCTCCGAACATGCCGTAGGATGCGACTGCACTTCAAGCCAGCACAGCACATCTTTGGTCCTGCGCGCTGCATCCCCGCAGGGAAGCAAGGACCAGGTAGTCCGGCAAAGTCGCGGTCTCCCAGGTTCAGGGGCCGATGCTCACGCGACATATTCATCTTCGAGTGGCCCCGACCTTAGATCATGGCAGCTGTCATCCCTTTACAGGCAGGGGAGCGCCGAGCAAGACCAGGTTCAGTGCATGGCTGCGTTTCCAAGACGTGTGCCGAAGTGGATGTTTGCTGTTACAGACGGGTTCACGGGTTCGCCAAGGCCCGACTTCTTGAGCAGGCCGTGGTGCGTGTCCCCAGAAAAGGAGAAAGCACATGGGTCACATGGGCTAGAGGTTGCCAGTGAATTTGCACCGAAGCCGAGGCAGGGGTGGAGGCCGACCAGCACAGCCCTCGGACGGGAGCGGGGCCGGGGAAGAGGGGTGTGGGTGAAGGTTCCCAGAGCTGATCCACTTGAGCCAATTTCGCTTATAAATGAATGCCGCACAAAGGAGGTGGGATGTTGTGAAGCAAGACGATACTACCCCGGAATTCAGCCATGTTCACCGCGGCTGGCGGCCAGTCAGGATTCTAAGCGTGTTTGCCATAATTGTTCCTGCGCGGCTTTCCAAGGATATTACTCTGAAGTGAGATGAGTTGATCGTGTGGACACCAAAAACATGTCAGGCACAAGATCGAGGGTTACAACGATGAGGACTGTTGCCCGTACGCGTTCGGTCATATTTACTTGGTGAAGTGCGTGCAGACCGCGAAAGGACGAATCCTTTGAACAACGACACGTGTGCAGGGTGTGCAACATTCGGACGCAGGACGAGGAGGCCCCGGCGGTGGTGGGGCCGAAGCTGGACAGCCGTGGCCGTATGCAGCTGGCCACCCGGAGAGGGCCAGGAAGCTTTCGGAGTTTATGAGATTTGCCGAGACTTCTACTTTGATGATCCTGAGAGGGAGGCTCTCGAGCGCTTTAGGGCCCTGCGTTGCCTATGCCGACGGAGCGAGAAGGTTCTAGAATCCCGCTACAAAAAGAAGTTGCAAGATCCCAAGCACAAGAGCAAGCTAAATCTTTGTGCCACTTTTTCCTGTAGACGGCCTTCCCAAACTTGTAAGTTATGAAAGAACCAGGAGGAACAACTGCCTGTTAGATGAAGATAACAAGAGACATCGGCAACAAAGGTGAGGGCTGTGGGCATTATTAGTGGGCTCAAAAGCTTGTTGGATAGCTAACCGGCTGCTTTGAGTCACTTAATAGTAATAGCTTTTACACTATTCTGCTCTTATCAGATGCAAACCCTACCACTATCCTGCTCTTATCAGATGCAACCCCCCCATGATAGAAGACGGACCGAAGCCTCGAGATGCTCACGATGATGCCCGTATTGTCAGAGCAGCACTCTGTTTCTGCGGAAATCTAAGAATCTGTGGGAGCCCGTCGCCAAGGTGGTGCTTAGCTTTCCTCACCGCTCTCGCAACGGTGCAGGCGTTGGGCAGCGTGTCACCATGTTTGCAAGTCCCCAGCCTTAAGGATGTAGTTCCGGAGTCTCACATTCAGTTTTGAAATGCCTTGCCTGGCTTCCTTTCGTGGCTATTCAAACGAGGAACCAGCTGAGTCATAGTGTTTGGCGCTGCGCATGAGGCGTGTCCAACAATCACAAGGTTCTTGGGCACAAGTGACACCTGCAAACCATGCACATGGGCATGATGGTGGAGCATGTGTGCGCTCTCGCTGCTGGCAGGCGAAGGTTGACATCGGTTGTCGTCGCTGTGTTTTGCAAGTTCTTGGCGATGGCTGTGTCCGTGCAGCTGCTGATGTGCCGTTGTTTCGAAAATCGATGAGTGCCGCGTATGGTTGTCGTAGTTGTATGTCTGTCTCAGTGGCGACAGAGGCTGCAGTGGCACTGGTGGTGGAGGTGACGATGGTGACGGCGATGGCGATGGTGATGGTGATGGTTGCGGCGATGGCGGTGTCCTCCGGCTCCCGTTTTCGAAACAGGGTCATTGCCGTCATGACATGCTCTGCGTTTGGGCTTCTGGGGCAGGTGAAGCCCAAGAGAAGCCGCGCACAAGCTTGCATGGCCCGCTCCTTGCCCGCCTGGTGGCAGGTCAAGGACAGCAGCGGCTCCCAAGAAGCCTTCCTGGAGAAGGCGACACGGGATAGACGAACGTATTTCTGGGCACTGGCCCAGTATTTTCTACGGGCGGCTTCTTGCAACAGACAGGGTTTTCGTCTCTGCACATCGATGCTCAAAGGCATCTTCGGTGTCAGGCTCAGTCTATTCACTTCGACTCCTTCGTTTGCGTCGACCTGCTGCCCATGTGCCTCAGCTGATTCGTGCGGACAGGCAACAGAAACAGCCGCCAGAGCTCGCTCGTATCCCTCTGCTGTCGTCGCAACATTTCGAATGGGAACCTTTCGGAGACATAGTGTAGTGTGTCTTCAGTTTGTTGGCTCTTCCACTGGCATTCACAACGGGGGTTGCTGCTTCTCAGGGTGTTTGGGAGACGTTTGGATCTGGAAGTTAGAGCGAAGTACTGGCAGTGTGCCTGAAGTACTGGCAGCGAGAAGTAGTTCTTCCCTAACGGAAGGAGGAGTAAAGGCGCATGCAGGGTGGATATGTTTATCCGAGTGGTTCTAGGCAAACCACATGGAGTTGAGTCAGACGGCCTGTGAGGAGCTCACAAAGTGGAGTCTGATATATCTTTTGACTTGCATGCCCCAATTCTTGCGACAAGAGGCACTTGCGCGCCTCCTCTGAGGCTAGTTCGGATTCTGCGACAGTCACCCGAGCCTTTCGAGGCCCGGTTTCTTTGATCTCCAGGTCGCTTGACAGGGGTGTGTATTCGAGGTTTGGCTGTGTGCATGGGATAGCTACTCAAACCTTCCAGAGTGCTTTGTCGAAGAAGCTTCTCTTATACATGCCATCCTTCATCCTGAGGTCACATGCAAGCTCTCAATTCAAAACAAAATCAGTCATGTGGAGGCATTGGCTGTGTGCTTCCTCCTGAGCTCGGTGAGCACTTCGCCGGACCCTCATGCCCTCATTGTGGAGACGGGTTTAGAATCGAGGCTGCTGCTGAAGGTGTGCAGATGACTCCGCAGCGGTTAGTGTTCCGCGTTCCTGTTGGTAGTCACGTGGATTTCGGCGGCTGCGCCACAATTTCGCCGAGCTCCCAGGCCAACCCGAACTTTCCGCATCACTCAGGCCCTGCCTGCCTCCGCACATGCCGGATGTTCTTCGAATCTCGGAGCAGGGCGCTCAGCTCGAGCCGAAGCCAGAACGCGAAGCCGTTGAGGCATCCGCAGGCTATGGTTTGGACTCCTGGGCTAACCTGGTCATGACTGGCTCATGAGAGCGGCGAACGCGGCTTCGCTCTTCTCGAGAGTCTTCTCCGTGAAACAACTCGGCACTTGCGTCGGACGATAGAAAATCCATGCGTCCCAGGAAAGCTTTCCCCTCGCTGCTATCAGCAGAGGCGCCGATCTTTCGCAGTGCAAAAGTCTTGCCAGACGCAGCATTTGTGCAGGCACGAGCGTCAGGAGGTCAAGCTCAAGGGCTGGAGTTCGAAATGGAGCAGCAAAAGCCCGAGGACCTTGCCGGACCAAATGCATTGCCGAAGCAGGATGGCTTACGAAAGTGCCACATCCTACCGTCTTGCAGAAATCAAGCGTTCATTTGTTAGGAAGTTAAGCCAGTGACTGGCGGTTGCCACAGTGCAGCCCTTCGCCTCCCAAACTTTGGGCAAGCCCTGTGTGAGGACACCACCTGGAAGCATCTGAAGATACCTCAGCTCAGCCGCCATGGGCCCAAAAAGATTCTGAAAACTGGGACTACTGGGACTAGCCGTGTTAGTCTCAGGCGTGCAGCGGTGCGAGGCGATAAGTTGTGATACTATTGGGATTGAGATTGCAATTCGCCAGCTTCGTTGGTGGCTCATCACGGGAAGAAGCTTGTGGTCAGAACATCCGCCTGAAGAAGTTAACCAAATGGCCCAAACCTTCAAGGGCTCTCCTGCAATACGGAATCAGGGCCCTTCTGAGAATCTGCTTCTCGAGGCATCGAAGCCGGAATCCGCCGCTGCTTCATCCACCTCTTGTCTCGGGCAGCCCACGTGCAGAGCGCTTGGCACGGGTTGGGGAAAGCTGAAAGCAGTGACTCTGACTCTGTCTGCTTCAGCCTGGTACTGATGAGGGGCTTTCCGCATGCCAGTGTCTCAAAGCTTGAACCAAGGCCGAAGGGAAATGCATGTGTCCAGACCCCAGTGCGAAGTGCGGTCAAGCCTTGCTGTCTGCAAAGTACCGTGAATCGTTAGCTCAGCTCCAACGGTGTGGTGTGGTTGTGCCGAGTTGCTGAACAGCCATGCGGCATGGCACCTCTTGACGAGCCTTGCGTCGGAGTCCGGGCCCCAGGGGAGCCATAGCCGGCCCAGTTTCCTCCCCCCCAGAGTTCGAAGCTTGAGTCCGGGCTCCTCCAATTCATTCTGCGCCCAGTCCCGACCTCTACGGTGATCCGGGGGCGTGCGTGCACGCGAAGCCCGCCTTGCCTGGTTGTGGTTTGTTGTTTTGTGCAATACTGTCGTTCAAGCTACAGATACTTCTTGATGACAGGGTCTATGCCTTGGCCTTCCTCCTGCAGCGTTTTGATGACCACAAGCTCATGATCGAGCTTGGTGGGAGCCTGATATGCGATGCTCGCATAGCGATTCCCACACCTGATTGCCCGAATAACGCTGAATGGTACCCGGTGTTAAGGTCTCATGGAACGCCTCCTAGAAACAAAGGCCGAGCCCTCAGATTTGGCTCGGAAACCGGCGCAGGATTGGCTCATCCAGACCTCCATTTCACTTGTCGAGCCCACTGAAGCACGCTGGCGAACCCCGAGGCCAACTTCCCCTTTCCTGCAACGCTTCAAGAGTTTGCCGTGATTCACTGAATGAATGAACCAAACTATGTAATTTATATATATATATATACACTTATAATATATATATATATATATATAATATATATATATATAATATATCTCTGGTACACATCCTGTAGGGTAGCTACACGACTTTTGTCAGCAGCGAAAGTACACGGCTTGTGCAGTCGACACCCGACTTGGACAAGTGAGAGTACCGGGTTCCAGACTGCATCATGTTCGCATGGGGTCGAATGCCTAGGACCAAATCAAGCAAGAGATGCCACATCGCATCCAAGAGCCTGAACCCAAGAGGGAGCAGCCTGCGACGCCTGCTGCGCGTTTGCCGTGATGTGCGCAGGGAGGGCTCAGCTAGAAGTGCCAGCTAGGCGCTTTAAAATGCTTTTGTTGAGCCGAGGCCTGACCTGCCGGACCTGAGACTTCCCTGGGCCTGCACCCGAAACTTTCCTAAACCGGGCCTAAAGCTGTTGAGGCTTCAGTTTTTCACAGGCGTGCTTGTAGCGCTCCAGGTTCAGGGTCAGGTGTCTGAAGATGAAGTTCTGCACTGTGCAAGCTTTCTTCCTCTTGCCGACATGTCAAGAGCTTGCGACTGAGATCCACTGCGTCATCAGCTTGGTCCTCCTCTCAGGCTGGGGCCTGGAATCTACCCATCCTCCGTCCCTTCTCCCCTTCTGCCATCCCTACGACCCGACGTCATCTCCGAGTGCCTGCCTGTCCGAGTCGAACAAATCTCTTGCCCCTCGGACAGGTCCCAAACTCTTCGCCGGAGCGAGCCCCAGTCTGAAGACGTGTCAGGTTTCGCAGTGCTTAGCCGGGCTTCACTTGGCTTGACCCTGAAAGTATCCTGAGCATCCTGAAGATGCGCCTCTTCTCGATTGAGGCAGCAAGGGCCGCGAGTTTGAGCAGCTTGTCGCTGGTGCGCTAGACTTCGCCAATGACCTGCAGTTTGAAGGCAGACGTGAGCCTCGGTGAGCGCTGCCCGAACTGCGCCCGGATCCCCCAACCAGGATACTGGAACTTGCATGACCACTAGATCCAAGTTGGCGAGACTAGACAGTTCCGAGATCCTCCAGGCTACGGCGCAGGAGTTTGTCAGGATGCACAAGCCCCGCATGTCAAGACCAGTCTGCAAGCCTTGGAACTTGTTCTCTGGTTCGATTTGACTCCTGACCTGTGAGGCAGAAGCAAGATCCAGCGGGAGATGCCTGGCCTGGCAGGGATCTTACAGAGTTGATGCCGGCGCAAAAACCCATAGGGCTTGGGCCTGGGCCAGTATCACATAAGCCATTCTTCGTGGACGTACTTCCAAGCGTTGCCCCGACTTTCCCTGACCCGTTGCCGTCGCGAGCTCGAAACAATCCCAGACGATGTCGACTCAAGGTGCCCAAGCTTTACAAAACCTTGCGGAAGTCTCTGCCGCTAATGCATGTCGCGGCGAACTGCAATCCGAGCAAGCTGCTGAGGCGTTGGACCTCGAGTGCCAGCAGGTGGGAGAGCGGGTGTGTGCCTTCGATGTAGTGCCCCTGCATAGTCTCTCGTCCGTGCCATTGTCTCAGGACAGACTAGCACATCGAGAGTAGTCGTGAAAATCGTTCCAACCCAGGTTAACTTGGATCCTGCAGCCAAGCCGTGGATCCCTTGTTCCAATTATTCCAGCTCGACGCTTTGTAGCCACTTCAACCATTGCTTCCCTCGCAGCGGTAGGGTGGATTCAGTCAGCGTTATGATGCACTTCGCCGTGGGTGCTCTTTCACTTTCGCTACTCATCAGGCTCTGGGAGCTGCAGGGAGCCCAGAAAAACTCTCGTAGTTTGGGCTGAGCTGCCGATCGGTCAGGGGTGACCTTCTTCCGTTGTGGTGCCAGCCTTTCGTGAAGGGAAGCAAAAGCGGCTTTCTTGTGAGCGCAGCGCGGCTATGCCAGCTATGCAGTCGCGAAGGACGGCGGTCGAGCATTGCGGAGGGTGTCAGGGGTGCAGAGCAGTCCCGACCCGAGGCCCTGGCACCATTCAGCACCAAAGTCGCCCACTTCGCGAATCTGAAGCCGAAGCCACTCGTCGATGCTTGGGCTGTCGATTGATATGCGGCCGTGCGCTTTGTCATCCAAGACGCGCAACCATGCTCTGCCTCTGAACTCCAAGCTGCAATTCCAATAGCCTCTGACTCTCTGACTCTGCTCAGCGGAGCTCAAGTTGATGCGGTGCGTGTCACATTGCGACGCAAGGTTCACGCTGTACTTGCTGGCGCTCATCTGCAGTGCCTGAGCCTCATCGCGTCACAAAGTTCAGGCCGCGCCTCTTGAAGGTCTCACCGGCTGCGGGTTCGGGTCTGCCGATCTTGAGGAGGTAGACACGACACCTCTGGATTTACACTCAGCGCAAGCAGGCCGAATGGCGATTCTGATTTTAGCCTCATGCAGAAGCCTGTCAATAAGCAACAACCAATATCGGCCTGCTTTTTTACGCACACGCATCAACAACATTCAACAACCACAGAGGCGCCCAGTAGTTGAAGTCACATGGTTTGCCAGATGGAAGACGAATTCCCAGCACACCCTCATGAAGCGAGGCTGGTGCTGTGCTATGACATTGTATCTATATCATGCTACTTCCGATGTTGAATGCCAGATTTTGTCCAAAGCTACAGCTCACATCAACGAGCACTGAATGTTGCTAACCGCCACCCAAAAGACACGCTAAGCTAACGCCAAACTGCACCAAACGTTTTTTTTTTATTGTGCTGGTGCATAGTATCAGACGCGGACGGAGTATGGAAAGCTGGACAAATCGCTAATCAGCCCGTCTGCTATACTTATCATCTCCAAGGCGCCGACACTCGGGCTCCGACAGCGGGCCTGTGAATTCCTCACCGAGATGCTCACGAAGGGACAGCAGCAGCAACCTCATTCCACTGTAGCATCCTGAATAGGCAGCGATCTGCATCCACTTCCCATGCTAGTTCCTGCCACATGCAGGCCGATTCAGGTTCTAAGGCTTGTAATGAAATCCCGCCAGATTCGCGCGCTAAGTGCGCAGTGGCTTGGCAGACTGAGAGCTGGTCTTTTCACTTGTTGTCATCCGTGGCCTCGGAGTCCCGAAGGCCGGGTAAGACTTCACACCGTAGAGGGCGACCTGTGCAGTCGGGACTCGGAATCAGAAACCAGAGCAGAAGCTTGAAGGATCAAAGGACAGGGTATGCTAGTCTCCTCTTCGAGCTGCTTTGGCCTCAAGGCCACACCTCGCTGGTGCAGCCTTCTTGAAAGCAAACTGCCGGAGCCCCGCCATGGGCCATGGGTTGCGAGGCGTCCCCTAGAGCTTGTCGAAGGGAGCTGCGATCCTCTTCATGTCCTTTCCGACTTGGAGACTAAGAGCGTCAATTCCTTGACCGGGCTGACCATTGGGGGAGTTTTGACTCGGCAGCCTATCGCAGGCTGAGAGGAACTTCTGAGGAGTCCGGAAGCAACATGCACTCATCATGCGCTCTGCACTCAGGCTTGGAGAGCTTCCGACGGATTTTGACAGGGCCGCTGGATGTGCTGATCTCAGCGGGGCCGGGCTTTGCACTGAAGTGGACGAGTTCGGGCAATCGCGAGCTTTTTGTCGTCCTAACCCCCACCCTGCATACACAGCCAAGTGTTAGTTGATCCGAAGCCAAGGAGCTGGCAGCGTCCACATCGCAGGCGATGATCGCCTTGGCATCCTCCTGCTATGCGCGCTCCCTCAGTGGTTTCCTCGAGCTATGCAGAACTACATACCTCCACCGAGCGCAGATACTTCCCTGATTCTTCCGATGACGCCTGAGACAGGAACAGTAGCATGGAAGATGCAAGCAGTATGACAATCTGCATCACTGCATCACAGAAAATTCGAGCTGGGGGTTCCTTGCTTCTCTCTCTTCTCCTTGAGCTTGCCAGGCTGGCACAGGAAACCGGCTAAACAGCGTAACAACGGTGGAACTGTCAGGATGTCCATGCCCACATGCTGCAGATTTTGGACACGGCCACAGGCTCAGCAGGAGCACTCAAGTGCACTGGTTCACGGTCAGAAGGACAAAGAAAACCATCGCAAGCTTTAGGTCTAGGTCTTTGACTATCGTTATCGATGTCAAACACCAACCCGCCCGACTTTGCACCTGAAGGTCCTGACGGCCATCGGAAGCCCCTCTTCAGGTGCCGCCAGAGCCACTAGCTCGGATTCTGCTTCGCAAAGACGATTCAATCAGCCCGTGCGTCAGAGACCATGAAGAAGCATCCCAGGTGATGTCGCTGTCTGAACTCTTCGTGGCACGCGCCCTCAGATTGCCTCAGGCATTTTCCGGGATCAGGCCCTTGGCTTACCGTGGATCTTTTTCGTATGTTTGCAAGGGTGTAACGAGGCTTCGCTGATCGTTGAGCAAAGGATGATGGGTTTCGGGTTAAGGGTATGGCCATTCAGAAGCTGCTTAAGGCTTCGTCGCCTTGGTATTGGCATGAAGCAGGCATTGCATGCGACCAGTGGCAAGTTTCTGAGTTTAAAAGCAATAGGCTTTTGGAGCTCCTGTGTAAGCATGCAGTAGTCCTCAAATTTCGAGAGCGCACTCAGACCCAGCTCCCGCCACAACAGTCCCGAATGTTGCAGTTTTCATGTTGTGCTGTGCTTCAGGGACTGACTGCGACGCGAACTGCAGAGGTTGAAGCCTGAGCACGTTGAGCTTCTCGGGCGCCCTTCACCTGTGAATTGGTCTCGGAGCTCCGACTGGCCAACGGCGTTGTCCCAACTGCCCGGATGCCGATCCCCGACACGTCCAAGCAACTGCTGAGGTTCTTAATGCCGCCTGCTGAGTCGTGGAGGGTTTCGGGGTTGGACAGTGCCAGCTCTGGACCGATGGCAAGACTTCGGGGCAAGGCCCACAGGCTGCTTTGGGGCTCCCGGTTTCGTTTATTTCAGGAAGGGCTTCCGTGCAGGCTGCGCCCGGAACAACATTTTTGCAGCTGTGTACTGAACAAGGCTCTGCACCAGACATTGTCAGCCGGCAGTTGAAAACCAACGGTACGAGATATATCCGAACTCTGCATTTATGCAATTTCGCTGCAAAGACCCGAAGCTTTCCATGCATGCGATCACCCTGCAGCTGACGTTCAGCGATAGCTCCCGATCCTCACCCCAATGATGCGATGCTGATATGATGCCCCTGAGTTTCTTTCATCGCTCTTCAGCCTTGATGTTTGAAGGCCTTCAGAATTTCCTGTGCTGGGGGCATAAGCCTTACTGCAGTGTACGTCCTACCGAGGGAATCCTGGAGATGCCCAGTGTGATGCCCTTCCTGGGCTTGGCCCGCTCGTCTTACTCTGCACGCCAGGGCGCCCCAGCGACGAGACTAGACAAGACGTGCTTCCTAGGAAAAGCCCCGGAAGCTTGAAGACTTATGTGCGGCCGGGCCGGTTTTCTTCTGAGGCCGAGACTTGGTGCAGAAGTGGTCTTGCGCTCAAGGGGTCCAGAATGGGAGCCAACGCGGAACGGTTCCGGTTGAGGCACAGGCCTCTCCTGCCCGAGGCTCGAAGCATTTGGCTCTTCTCTTTACGAGCTGGATGAGGCTCGCCGCCCCGGCAAGCACGAAGGTGGAGACTCATAGGGAGCAAGCACACAAGCTTGGCTTATTGGCAGTCGAAATCCAACCTACCTAGCTGCCAGGCTGCGGGCACTTCGATGCCAAAGTTATACCCTGATTTCTGGCTAAAACTCATGTCATTAGACGGCTTCGTGCATCTGTCTGTGACACAAGTATACAGGATCTAGGTATGCTTCGTCCCTCCCCATCGCAGGTGTCCGAGGTCTTCTCCAAATCCACTCTCCAAGGGCTGCTTTACGTCTCGGCACGTGCCTCCCTCGAGTCTTGGCAGGGCTAGCAGGGGATGATCTCGTAGTGCTCCTGAAGCTAGCTTTCTCGCTCAGCTCTTGAATTGCAGTTTCTACCTTTGCAAGGTTAGCCGTGCATCTTCATCCCTCCAAGTGACCACTGCAAGTCCCTGGCCAGGCAGCACCTTGGACCCTGAAGAGGCCATAAGTTTCCGCAAGGTGCTGTCCGGCCCTCGGGCCCAGAGCTTCCAAGGCATTGACTGCACCGCCTTTCTGCCGGCAGAGCCTCAACGCAGTGCTTTTTAAACGAGTTCTCTTTGATCCCTCGCATCTCGGGCGGCTCAAAGGTTCTCCCACTCCAAGATGAGAATGTTCACTTCATGCGCCATTGCATTCAAGAATCCCAGTGAATGCGCGTTTTTGTCTTGGTGCAGACTCCGTAGACTCCTAGGCCTTAGGCCTGGCGGCTCGTCTTGGTGTAGCCCCACTGTGGTTTCGGGAGCCGTACCAGCTCCTATCAGAGCTTGGCGACGCAGGTTTGGGCTCATCCTAAAGCGCCGGGACCCTGGAAAAGCTGAGCAGACTGAGCTGGCTAGTTCACGGACAAACCCCCGGCACTTGGCCTTTGGGTGCAGAAATCGGCGCCTGCCCCGCTGTTTGGAATGCGCCGAGGCGTTGAGACTTGGAGGAACTCCTACTTCGGCCCTTACGAGCTCGGGCCCCGCATCAGGGTTTCCAGACTGCGGCTCCGCAACCAGGGTTGAAAGGAAGTGCTTTTCACGCATATTGTAGCCTTTGCGGCCGTGTCCACACCCGACGACATCTCGGAATGACCACCTGAGGTTCCTTTCAGAGACCATCATTGCAGCTATGTTGCCGCCTCGGAGCTGTTCGGATTTGTGCAGCTTCGGGTTCGGCGACTGCTGAAGTGTAGGCACCTTTCAAGGTCTTTCCAATTGCAGCATCTGCTTAGGATCCCCGTGTGTGAGCTGCAGCCTGATCTGGTCGGTGCCATGGTCGTCAGGGCCCAAGATTAGATGAGAGCCTCGCCAGAAGGCTTTGCAGAGCCATAGGCCACAGAGAGCTTGGCTCAACTGTCTTGACAGGATCACGCACCCTGTCGCCATCCGGACAAGCATAGTGCTAAGGCCCTCATCCACAGCTTCATCACCCACAGCGAGACGAGGCATAGAGAGGGTTTCCAAGCCGGCATGGATTTCTTCTGGATAGAAGTCGCCTCTGTAAGGACTCTGTTGCAGCTCGGCCCCTGCTTTCAATGCAAGTTGGCAGATCCGATCCGTTTCGTGTTGCCAGACCCGCAATGCTTCGTTTCAATCTTTGACAGTCACGAATCCATAGATGACGATCCAGGCTGCTGGAGCGGATCTGGACTGGGGGGCACGTGTCTGGAGCTCGGGGAGGGATGTGATGCTGCATTCAGAGGACGGCTTCTTTGCGAGATTCTCGCAATTTCCGCTTCATCCGGTTCCTGAATGTGTCGTCTTCTCGGTTAGGGCAGTCTGCTTTGGTTCTGCCAAAGTTAGACATTGGCCTTTCCCTATAGTTCAGAAGACTTCGAGAGATAGTCAGGGAACAGTCACCGCAGAGCCACCGCAGACTACTCTGACCTCGAACCTTCGCTGGCGTTGAGCTCTGTAAGGCCATGGCTATGTAAACGTCTGGTCTTGCCCTCGGCATGTCTTCGTGCTGAAGCTCGCTCTGGCATTGTGAGACTGGGAGCATTCCTACCGTCACATGACCTTCCATTGCAGCCATGTTTTGCACCAGCTCACAGCAGAAACTACTGCTTTGAACTTGCTTCTCTTATCGTCCGACTGCGCTGTGGTTGCTTCAATGGACTTCAACCTCGGCGCAAGACTTACATGTAATCCGTGTGCAAAGGCTGATCAATCCCGAGTGCAGAAGGCTGCCATAGAGCGCATGGCAGAGGCATGGTCTCGGAAACATTGCACCCAGGGCATTGCGGCAGGTTGGCGTGTGAAACATACACAGCTCACACCAGCACGATGTTGAGCAGCATGTGCTCTGTTGATCCGCTGCGACTATGGAATGGAGATAGAAGGCTGAGAAGCAAAGCAGCCCGCCCCAAAGACGACCAGATGCCCGAAATCTAAGACTCCGATCTACCAGTCGACTTCCGACGAATCTCCACAGAAGAGAGCACATGTTCAGCGAGAGATCGCCTACAGACCTTTCCCTGCAGGAGGTAGTGCACACGGGCATCACGCCGACTCAGTCCAAGGAGGACAGGGACCCGGGTTTTTGAATTCCAACTGCTCTGAGGCGTGTTCCGGACTCCTGCAGACAGGGATTGTGTGGGCCTCCGAGCCTTTCTTTGCATCTAGCTGCTTCTCTTTGAAGTCGTCCAGGCTCCTGCTGCGATCGAGGTTTCGGGCTTTGTTTGACTTTGGGTCAGAGATGGCCTTACCAGGAGCTGCCGCACCAGATGGCCAAAGGGTGGGAGCGCCATGAAGACTTGGCCCGCCCAGCCACGTTTACCCTCCTTGGCAAGGGCAAGCATGGCAGGCAGAGGGGCCAGCTTATCCAATTCCACCGCATGCTGTGGCGGGAGTAGCGATGTGGCTGATGGCCTGGGACTAGGGTCGGTTTGACGAAATCTGCACCAGGCTGCGGCTGTGTTGTTGCACCTCTGCTCGCAGTTTTGCGGTTCTGCGGCAAGCGAAGGTGGCTGTGTGAAGTGCATCTGCAGCTCGCCAGGTCGTGGCACAGGGGATGGTCTTGCGCATCGCACGGCGCTTACGTCGCATCACGCCCGGACACAACCAGACTGCTCGTTGCGAGCTTTGAAGAGCGATGTCCGACGTCAGATTGGCAGTCCCTTCATCTGGCAATTCGCTGTGCCCAGTTGTCCAACATCTTCGACCTCTTCCCTGCGGAGTTCGGCGCGAAGGTCAGCAAAGATGGCTGCATCGTCAAGAACTGGTCTGGGCCCTGGGGCATTCCACAAGTTCAGAGCAGCGTCTGATTCCGTAGTCATGGACTGCCGGAAAGTGCTTCAGTACAGCCTGCAGTGTTGCTCAAAAGACTGCTGAGAAGCATCCTCAGCTGGACGCTTCCCACTAGTGTTCCGGCCGGGTTGACCAGAGAGGGCAGATGGATGTATGAGAGCACAACATCCCAGCGCTGTCAGCTGCAAGCCACTCTGAGGCGCGACCATGTGACCTTCTACTGCCATCATGCATCCCGGCTGCAGAGGCAGAGAGGCCAGCTCAGCAGAGCTCACGAGCCAGCCAGAATCGTAGCAGCGCAAGCAAATGTAAGCAAATGCTCCTAAAACAGTCGCATGTGCGGCCGGGTTGCACGCTACACGCTGCTGTCGCATGCTGTCTTTCTCAAAGACTTACAGGCTGGGATGTCGAGCGTTTCGGGGAGCAGCTGCAGTTCTGGGTTCGACATCCTTTCCTATCGGATTTGAGGCGGGAGACTGGCCAATGAAGGAGGACAAGGAGCTTTCACCTTGACCAAGTGATCTACTCCCTCCGTTTTCCGAATTCAGACCACTTTGGCAGGAGCTCCGAGACTCCACCGAATCAATCCTGGGCTGCTTGGCGTAAACCGTCATGCCCAGGGCCAGGGCAGCCGAAGCATGTCGGCGACATCGTACCCGTGAGTGCCCCTTCCTCCAGATGTGATAATCCACAGACTCGGACCAGAAGCACGTGACTCAAGATGTCCTGCGTTCTGTCTGCGCAGCCGAGAACTGTCAATGCAACTCGCCGGACGTCTGGTCTTCGACGTCAACGAAGACATGCAAAGGTTGCTGGCACCACGGCTGCAACTGCCGGGGTCATCAACGTACTGCGAAAGGTGTTGTGATTTTCGGGGCGCTGGATGCAGATCGTGCTCTGCCAGACCTATGTACATCTTAAACTGCATGGAATCACAAGGTATTCTGAGTGAAACACTCACCTCCACTAAGACCCAAAGGGCCACCTGCAAGCACCACTTGGGGAAGTGTGTCCGTTAGGTTAGTCGTTAAGGAAAAGGGGGCATTTGACATTTCGGGCCTCAGACCTGGAGCTTGGAATCTGGGCATCGCATGACCACTGCAGATCATGGATATGTCTTACAGAAGCAGACCCATTGAGGTGCAGCAAGGCATGATTGGCGTCTGCTCAACAATGCTGCTGTGGCTGTGGCAGTATTTGTGAACAGGGTCTTGACGGGGTTCATACAGGTTTTGTCGACTTGTGCAGCCGACGCATTGCATGTCGAGGACTTCCTGCGGGCGACACACACGCGCGCACCCACGTCTTTGCATCGTGTATGTCTTACATCTCGGCATGATTTCGTCGCTACGGCACACGGCTGAATCTGGAACACAGGAGCCGCACTGTTCGCCGAACTGCCAGGCCTACGCCAGCGCAGCAGGCAGCCATGCGGGCTGCCATTGGGCAGAGCGAAAGGTCGGGAGAAGCTTGCTAGCTTGTCTCGCATGAGTAGTCCATCGCAAGTTATGCGTTGGCACTCCAGAAGCAACCGCCCGTAGAATCAGACCCCTTCGAGATCGTATGCATGCACATGCGATGAGATAATTAACAGTTTTGCGGCGGCTTGTCGACACAAACAGTGCGGAAACTCTGTCTCTCCAACTCTGAATGCCAGGCAACCGTACCCTTTCACAGCCAAGCCGAACGCAGGTCCGAAGACACATCAGAGACGCTCTTCCTTCCAGAAGCGAAGATTCTGGCCGGCGCCGCAATTGCCAGGCCGGCGCCCAAAGACACGGCTGATACAGTATGCCCGGGCTTGGCAGTCTCATTCGAGTGTGGAAGAACATGTTGCCTGTGGTCTTAACAGCTTGGCAACAACAGACCTCCACGTTTGCCAGAGTAGATTTTTCAGCCCGACGGCCTTAGTCTTCTTGGGGTTTAAACATGGGATTTTGAAATCTGCGAGGCTGCTGTGTCTGCCAGATGCATACCGCTACATCCAGGCCTTGTGTGTGTGGGCTCGGATCGGGAGATGCCCTTCGCAGTCGCGAGGAATTGAGATGATCTGCGGACAGGTACCATGTGGCCTTTGGCCTTGCAATTCCTAACTTCTTCACTCCCGGCAGAACTAACTCTAAGGTCATCCTACGGCATGTTTGGGCATACTCCCTTGCATTGCAGGACCGCCGGGCTGCGAAGCACTCCGTCAGCATGTTTTCACAGCACGGGCACCCAGTGCCGATGGTGCTTTCAAGAACTTCCTCCTGAACTCTTCGCGTCGACGACTGTGTGCAGTTTGGTCGTCATGGGTTCTCACGGCCGTCTTTTCAGGCCTTCTGCTCTACCAAGAATTGCAAAGAAGTTCTGTGGTGGAATGCCGGCTAAAAGTCCTAAAAGCCTGGCGCCTTTGCTGAAGTTCTTTGCTGCTTCCTTGATCCCGGGGGCTACTTCGGTTGTGGTGGCGAGGAGAGTCTGAGTCTCCTAGAGAAAGGCTCCATCACTGGCGTGATGCGGTCTTTGATGAGCAGGCGCCGATCATGTCGGAAAGGTGACCGTATCCATAGATGCTTACTGATCAGTTGTCTCAGCGGGCTACATTTTGAACATATCGTAACAACCCGGCGAAAGAGAGCGCTCCAAGCAGAATTCCGAATCCCTTGTCTATCCGATCAGGGCACGGTCGCGGTGCTGCAAAGCGTCAGCCTCCTGGAAAGGCTTGCATTTTTGTGTCTCTTTGAAGCTTGTCTCCCGTTCTTTAGTCTGGGACAGGGCTTCCAAGCGATGAAATTTCTGTCTGAAAGTCTGAAATGCACGCTGCAGTCACTCTGGCATGTTGATCTCAAGCTTGGCTGGGAAGGTGTGCGTCGCTGTACTTGGCCATGGTGTCTGGCCACACCCTTGATTGGTGCTTTGACTTCCTCGGGCCGTGGCCTCAGCCAGTGTACCACCTCAAGGTCCTGAGGCTGGCCGGGGAGCCAAGTCCTGACTGCAGAACTCCTCCAATGACAACTCCTTTTATCAACTTGAAAATCCTCCATAATCCTTCCAAAGGAGTGCTTGTTCAGCAAAGGCTGGCCCACATGGACGTCTTTCTGCCGATCATGCTCCGCATGTGGGCCGATCATCCAAATCCCATCCTGAGACACCATGCCGGGGCCTCGGTGGCTTCGCGTCGCGTGCTGTTTCCAGCGAGAGTAGCAACAGGAAGCAGCTCTTGCCAAAATTTTTGACTTCACCTGTTAAGAACCCTCGAATCCAAGGTTGTAGGAAAGCTCAAACAATGATCAGCTGCCAGCTCCTGGAAGCTCTCCCTGGCAGGGCCTTCGTCTCTTCGGCAGCCTCTGCCAGGCACAAGCAGGGAAATCAGAACGAGCGAAGCCGCAGGATGCGAATCGTGGCATTTGTTTTAGTTTTGACTTCTCCACAGCCGCGATGCTTTGCTTAGGTTTGGGCACGAGGCTATCTTCAGTGCTGAGACTTCGGTCAGGTCATGTAGGTCTGCACAGAGCAGCATGCATCCTACCTGCCAGCTGGTTTGTCAAGTGATAGGTATCGTCAGGAGGTTCAATTCACCCGTAAAAGGTGCAACAGTGCGGAATCAGACCAACTGTCATCTTTTTTTTGACATGGTTTAGGGCCGCAGGGCCGCAGGGATCTACATTAATGGGTTTGAATGGATTTGCACGTGGACAGATCATCCACTGATCTTGGCACTTTGCTACAGTGTGATGTGGTTGCGTCTCGTGAAATCGTGAGGCGGAGAGTGTCGGCCGTATACACTTCGCAGAGCAGATGACCTTTCTTGCGGCAGGTACACTGCCTGTTCTCCTCCACGCTCCAAGCAGAAGCCCGTGCCAGGTGGCTGCAAGCTAAACGAACGAACCCTGGAGGAGTCCTCAAACGAGCCCTCTGCAATCTCTGTGCTGAATCAGATGAGGGGCGTCGGTTCTCATGGAATGGCAAGAATATACCTTTGCACTCAATCCTGAAAGCTTGGGGTGTTGTCCCAAAAGCACTCCGCATCAATAAGCCCTTTGTGGAAGGCGCACTGAAAAGGTTACTTGTCCCAGTGGGCGTTTTCGAATCACGGGAGCACGGTGAACGTTGAGGAGTCGATGGGTTCAGGCTGTAGTCGGTCTAGTGGTCTTGGGTGACAGTTCCGATGTGTTCACGGCGCACAGGGACTATGATTTGGGCCTCGGGCATTTGCCCGAAGGCTGGTAGCAGTAGCTGATTGACCTCGCACTGAACATCGTTCCGAAGCAGCACTGTCATGAAACCCCGGAAGACATGACATCCTGAAACGACCGTCCCGGCACCAACTTTTGTGGGCGAAGACCAACCACAATTTCAGACAGGCAGCTGAGCCACGCCATCCATCGGACATTCGGGATTTGGGATGTGGCAGCCTCGGCTTCGCCAGTCGACAGTTTCACGGACTTTACTGTCCCATCCAATCAAGCACGAAGCAGCCTTTGCCCACACGCCAAGCTGCAGGTCCGCGAGCTGCGACACATGCTTCGCCTGCTGCAGCCTTTGAACAAGTTCGCATGCATAGATACATGTACATGCACATGTATTTCTCCACAAGCAACGAAGGATGGTGGCCGTGATGTGTCATGTGCTCTTCATCTCAACGACGAACGTCCACTTCGCGGCCATCGTGGACAGCCTTGGGCGAGGGTCAACGCAAGCTGCGCCCGTTGACGCTAGTTGCTCCACTCCCCTCGCACTACATTCTTCAGCAACAGCTGCCACAAGCAATGAAGCTTGAGCTTGACACACTTGGGTTTGGCTTGTTTTGTTTTGTTGTGTATGTGTGTGTATGTATGTGCATGTGTGCATATCTCTGTGTGTGTGTGTGTCAAACCCTTTTTGCCACGGGATAGGCTTTATAGCTGAGGTGACTGTGATGTTTCAGTTTGCAGAAAGCTTTTTGTCTGTGTGTCTGTTCGTCTGTCTGTCTATCTGTCCGTCTGTCGGCCGGTCGGTCGGTCTGTCTGTCTGCCTGGCTGTCTTGTCTGTCTCTGTCTCTCTGTCTCTCGGTCTCTCTGTCTCTCTGTCTTTGTCGCTCTGTTACTCTCTCTCGCTCTCTGTATACTATACACATTCTTGTACAGTATAACGTGATCTTCCACAATGTAAAGTTGAATGTACTGCAATGCGATGTAACGTAATGCAGTGCAACGCAATGTAAAGAACTCGGATGAACTTGAATGGACTGGACTGGAACGGAACGTGGTGTACTGTAATATAACATATAGCGTCATACAATGCAACATAGCAGCAGGATCTTATTCGGGTATGTCTCCACTTACTACACGCACATGCACATACACGTGCAAGCATACAGGTCAGTGGCGGGAGGGAGGGTCGGCTCAGCACCAAGTCTGGAAAAGCGAAGGTCAGGTGAAAGGGCACCTGTGCATGCAAGAACAGCAGAAGCCTCACTCGAAGCTCGCCGGCGGCTCTGGAAGAGAGAGTGGCGTAGTGCAAAGACCTCTGGCACGTGCTGGAACAGACAATTCGAACAGGAATGAAGCCGGTCAAGCCAAAGAGCCAGCCTCGGCATCCAAAACGCCTTGCAGTAGCCTTGCCTTGAGCTTGAGCCGAGCGAAGGAGCGCACATTGGCACGAAAAGTTGAGTGCCCCCAACTCGCCGAGGTGCGTGGTACAAGCTTGATTCGTTTAGGGGTTCCATTGGTTTGCCACATAGTCCCAGAATCCTTCTCCGATTGGGGTCCTTTGATTTGGGCTCGGGAATGCCAGTTCCTGAAGAGTCGAGGAGGCAGGCCGTTGCAGGCCTCCAGGCTAGTAGCCTGACCAATGGACTTTGTGACACTTTGCCAAGACTCTGCGGAACGGTGCTGCAGCGCGTGCCAGCAGCAACACGTCCAAGTCCGGACCCTGGGACAGGGAGCCTCGAGTAATGGAAGGTTCTGTAAAGCTTTGTTGCAGTACACTTCAGTACCACAACAGGCCACAAGCCTTTGCAGTCCTGAAGATCGTGGCTGCCGTCTTAGGTACGTGACACGAGCTGGCTTCCTCACGCAGATGCTCGCATGGGCCGAGAAGCCCGGCGATCACTATGCCAGGCTCCGTTGTTGGGCTTGGGGCAGAGCTTGGCTTCCTAGGATTGTGAGCGGGGGGCCTTGGACTGATTGGAGTGGAGTAAAATTGAGTAATTTGTGTGAGAAACCTATGAGAAATCTGTCGGTGTCTGCGAGTTTGCAGAGGCTCGACACGCCTGTGAGAAACCTGTGAGACAGCTGAAAGGGAAGGGAGCCACCGGCCGGACCCAAACCCCACCCGCTTAGGTTTCTCACAGCCTTTCTCTCAGACCCTGGGCCACCGGTTTTCATTTCTCATAGTTTTCTCACAGAGACCACTGAGACCACTCACAGGCTTCTCACAGATTTCTCACAGAAAAATAGCTCCCGATGATTCCATGCCATCCCCGGTCACAGTCCTAGGAAAAAAAAGGAAAAAGAACTTGTTGGGGTGTGGAACGTGAAGAAAACTGGAAGCGATACCAACAATCCACCAACTAGCACATGCTCCAAGCTAGGAGGAAAGGCTGTTCGCAGCAAGCTACACAACGATCTCTAATCTTCTCGAGGTCTGCAACTTGCATCATTGCAACTGGACGCATGCGAACATGAGCCATTGCCACGGAGGCTTGCAAGAGGTATGCGACGACCGCCCTACACAAAGTAGTGTGCGAATCCTGCATGTCAGGAACACAGCTCTGCGGTCCCTTGTTTATGTACAAAGTCATGGAAACGGTTCCACTTGAGACGGAAAGAAGGTGATACAGAGACCGTCGGCTGGGCTTGCACCAGGACCTGGGGCCTGTGGCTGATCTTGACCCTCTTTGCCCACGAAGCCAGTGAAGAGAAGCTGAAAAGCCAGGCCTGCGGCGACGATCTCCTGCTTTCGATGTCCCTCGTATGCCGTGCTTGTGACGAGAAGTGTATGCGATCTGGGAGTTCCAGTTGAAGTGCTTGGGCCTCTTTTGCCCAAGTCCCTTCGAGGCTGATACGCTTGATCCAGACGCTGTCCTGGTCATGGAAGAGGTATCCTTGGAAGAGGCAGCGATGGTGTAGGCATGTGCTGAGATTGGACAGCCGTCGGAGTTTAGCCGTGTAGCCGGATCGGTAGTGCTGTTGCTGAAGCTGCAGCGCTCAGCCTTTCAGTCCGACTTCCTCTGTTTGGCCTTCGGAACTTGACTGTCGTTTGAGGTTCTATTTGCTTGCAGTATCCTGCCGTAGGCTTGGTGAACCCAAGTGCTCTGAGTGTTCGGTGCCTTCGTCACGTTGCCAGGCTCAGGTTGTTCGGAGGAACCGGCTCTTGGATGCTCAGGAGGCATTGGGAGACACAAACGGCGATCGTCGGGTGCAGTATTTTAAGCTTTGGGGTACAGCGCGACGATATGCTCCCTGCAGAGGCTGCAGCTGGCATCACTGCCTCAACGAGACAGGATAGCAGCAGGATGCCCAAAGGGTCGGAGTGTAGTCCGGGACATGGAAGATTGCTTTGTGTCTTGCCGCGGGAACTTCCAAAACGTGCAGTTTCCGCAGTCCCCCGCCTGGCTCGCTGGGCCAAGGCAAGCAGCCCGAGTGTAAGACGCGTGTCCACTGGCTTCTTGGCGGTGGAATGGCATCATACCTTTGGACAACGAGTGCTTGAAGAGTCGTTAGGAGGGTTGGTTTCTCCTGGGCTGGACGGGACTGGAGACGGTGTTTGTGTGCGTGTTGTGTGCGAATTTCCATAACACATGGGGACAGAGGGTCACTCCTACACTGCACGCTACCATGATGATTGGACAGCCTGCATGCAGATTTGTTTCAGAAAAAGCAGGAGGGCGGAGGAGGTGTGAGGGGGCTCGGCGGTGTGAGGGGGCTCTGCCCAACGAAGCTTTCCTCACACGTAAGGTCATGTATCTGCTTTGCCTGCGCCTGGGTCCCGTCGTGGGCAGCTGGCGGGGCATTCACCTTCGTTCACCTTTCATCTCATTTCGTGTTGCGTCATTCCTTTGCGTCTGGCGTAGCCAGGGGCCGAAACCATACCCCTGACGGATCATCTCACCTTGTTTTCGTATGCCATTCCTTTTTGGTCCAGAGTGCGGGACGCACCAGTGTGCCCACTTTTTCGTTATCATCACCATTTTTCAACTTCATCATGTTTCACCTTTGCATGTTCACGGCAAATTACATCAACACCCTGCCCCACCCCACTTTGCTTTTCTCGATCGGAATCCAACAGTGTGCGTGCGTGTGTGTGTGTGTGTGTTATCTCTGCGCTGGGATGTGAGAGCTGCTTTGAGCGCAGTCCAAGGCTCCGTGGCTCCACAGAGCTGATTCGAGGCCTCGCTGCCTCAGCTGCCGGCCCAGCGAAGCTTGCAGATGGCAGGGATTTTGGAGTCTCTCTGGTGATCAGATCCTGGTTCAGATCTGGTTTTTTCCGGTGGGAAGTCTGATTCTGCTTAGACGAGCCCACGTAATGTGATCGGCGACGGGACATCAGCGCTTCCAACTCGCATCACAAGCCCTTCCACGAAGCAGAGCCTTCCCTCTCGTGCCAAGGCCGGCAAGTGCATCTCGCATTCCCTCGCGAGTTTGAAGCTTCAAGTGTTTTCTTACTTTGCATGGGGGGATGGCTTCCCCAAGCTTGTGTTAGCCGGCGTTGTGTTCACTGTTCGCTGAGAGGGCTCCGGCTTCTTGAGGCAAAGGTTCTGAGCAGATGGGTAGACCATGGAATGCACAGGCTGATTCAGAGCAGGCCCGCATTCGCTCGCCGTGTTTGAAAGCAACGCCGATGGAAAAGCCGACCGCTCCCCTTCTCGCGCAGCCTGAGCCGAAGCCCTGGGCCTGAGCTTATTGGCGAAATCTCTGTTTGCTCTTGGCCAGGTATCAATGGAAGGACTCCCAGCAGCTCGGCTGCGTGCGGCAGCTCAGCCGGGCGCGGCGTGTAAAGCGAAGACAAAGCCGCAAGGCAACAGACTCGCGATCGCCTGCTCTTCAATGTTGCTTAGTCGGCTGCGCTTTTTGCAACAGCTCCTTTTGGTCGCTCTCAGGTGGCCTCCGCTTGGTGCTTGATAGAGCTGTCAGCCCGACACGGCTTCAAAAACGGTTGAAGGGGTCGTGCAAAGTTGAGTGCCCGAGACCTTCTTCCACTGGCCGCGATCAGAGACCGAGTCCGATTTCGTTTCCTCTCTGAGCACTGCCAGCTTCTAAACAAGTCTTTGGCCGGAGTGGGTTGCGTGAATTTTAAGTACACGAGTTGGTGCCAGGCCCGCATTTGTCCAGACTGCTGTGCACTCGATCGACAGTCGGGTGGTCTCAAAGTGTCTCACGCTGCCGGAGAAGCACCAAACTTAGCTGCTGCCGCAGTTTCAGACAGCAACCACAGGCCTCATGTCGTGAACGGCGCACTGTGACATGTCCCACCGGCCTTCCCTTGCATCGGGACTGGCTTCGAGGCTGGGCATCGATGGCTAAGTCTGCTTGACATACTTTCAATAACAAGGCCACAAGGGCGTAATTGGCGCCTTCTCCAAGCCTCCCCCAGTGGCCCAACGATTCTACAGCCCAACAATCAAGCAGGTTGCATGAGTCGTCCCTTCTCTGAGCCTCTGACAGTCAAGGTCCCTGCAGCTGGCAGCCTTGCTACTCATTGCAGTTTCCCGGCTTCGTTTGGCTTCCCTGAGTGGGCCCGACTCAATCCGGTAGTTTTGGCCTTGTAAAAGATTCGGAACTACCAGGAAGCCACTGCGAGGCGTGTCACGCACATTGGTAGTCAATGCAGCACTCACCTTTGGTGATGATCCGGTCTATGCGGTTCGTGCTCCACTGACTTTGCATTTCGTCTTGATCTACAGAAGCCCGAGCCACTCTCGACAGTGGCCCCTCCAGGTGGTGTCCAGCATCCGGCTCCCACTTAACGTCCGGGGCCTTTGGGCACCGAGGTTTCTGGAGTGCACCTACAGGCTCAAAGGTTGAAAACATATCCGGAGATTTCGAGATAGGTGAAGAGTAGCCACACTCCGCTTACTGACTCGCGGGCTAAGAGGTCGAAGCAGAAGCAGAACTGCTGCTACTCGTTGTGCTGCAGTCTGCACGCGGTTGCTGTAGCAAGCTCTGCAGGAGGATGCACTCTAGCTTAAGTGGATCACCGTTCTGTGTCTGCGTCGCCTGAGGCCCAGAACATTGCGAGCGAGTTTCGCCGGCATGTCGACGGTAGAAGAAGCGAGATTCTAGCACGGAGCGGCTAGCCTGGGAAGTGTCAAGCTTCGACGGCATGTCTCTCAGCTACAGATAGCTGCAGGGGTAGTATGAACATCAATTCCGCCCAGCGCCAACTGATCATTTGCCAGGTTCTTACGGCGATTCCACGGGCAGCAGCTTCTTGGACCGCAGTTTCAAAACCAACCACATGCGCTTTGGGTCGAAGAAGACTAACCCTTCACCAGTCGGTGATGAAGACAATGATGGAGATGATGAAGTGGGAGGATGCATGTACACACAGACGTCGAATTCGCAGGAAGATGTTGTTCTCTACTCCTGGGACCTGACATCTTCGATCAAAGTTGACAGGACGAACAGCATCCTTGGTTACAGCTTTGAAGCCAAGGCAAGTGCTGATCGAGAGCCTCGCCAGTGGCGGAGAGGGCCCGTATGACACCATCGCGAGGTCGGCCAATGGCACCACTGTATCAGCGTTCAGGGCAGCGCAGGGACAAGGGGCAGGAGCGTTTTTTAAAGGTTCCTCCATCAGCGTCGAGTGTGAGGTGGCTGCACGAGCCACTTCTCGGCCTGTCGGCGCCCAAAAGATTTGGCCAAACCGACTCCGAGCCTTGCCTCGTATCTCGTGCTCGTGCCGCATGCTCTTTGCTTTCACTCTAACTGCCGTCGTCCATCAGTCGCTGTGACGAGCTCGGATGATCTGCACACTTGTCTGTACCTTGAATTCAAGAGCATGTTGAGCCTGGAGTATTTCGACTTGACAGTACGAAGGGTCTTCTAGGGCGACGGCCTCAGGCAGTTGCGCCTAGCGCCGAGGATTTCATGTTGCATTCAGGCCCAACGAGCATGAGTTCCGCTGCCTGGTGTCCTTCATGATCGGTCTGCCGGCGCTGCTTACTGGGCACAGGGCGATGTCGGAGAGACTGAGCTTTGACGCAGTGCTGCCAGGGCAGTGCATCAAGCCGCCCCTGGCGGCGCCTCCCTCCCTAGACCTGGAGACTGCCATGGCGCCAAGGGGCAAGGCTCGGTTCGGTCTGACTTCGCAGAGTCATCACATCTTAACTTCTGCTTCTTCAAGCTCTTGGGGTCTTCTGTGAAAAAGGTGGGTCTTCTGCCGCCTTCTCAGGAGCTGGTGTCCCAGAATGCAGTCACTCTCCCGCCGCTGGACTCGAAGGCTGGGTCCTGCGGGCTGAGCGGGTTCCTGGGGTGCCGGGTCGGAGTCATGCGAGGATGCTAGGCACACGAAGCTCGGACAGGAGTATCGAGTCTCAAGCTGCAGGAAGCCTTTGTAACCTCATACAGGCGCTCCAGCTTCAGCGAGGAAGCGGCAGAAAGGCATACAGTGATACGAATGGCAACATTGACAACAAGATGACAATGAAATGGTTGCAACGGGCGGTTCATGTTCTCGGACTCGGTGCGCTCCGGGCATGTCCGAGTGTCTCTCATCGGGCAAGCCCTGTAGCGGTCGGACACGTCAAAAGATGAAGAGGCGATGGATGAGGGCAGCATCCCGAAAGGGGTGATGGCTGGCAAGCTTCCAGTGTGAAGGGGCATGCATTCTGAACTTCTGGGCACGAGGGCAGAAAAGACTGGAAGCCTGGAAGGAATGTTTTGGTCAGTCGCAAAGAGGAATTATGCCGGTCAAACCGAAAGGTCTTCAGGTGCAAAACTATAGAACATCGATTCGCATGAAAATACGAAAGCTCCTGGAACCAGGCATCTTGACTTTGCTGAATCCAGGAGGTGCCCACTTTTGGCTGGCTTTTCGATGGATCCACCATGCTATGGCGGGATTTAGGGCATTGCCGTTTGGGCCTTTTTTCGGGGCTGCACGCGTGATCTCTGGAGAGAGGGCCAATTTTGGAGAAACGAGACTCCCATGATGCTCATGATGCTTGTGCTTGGTGGCCTCGGTGGCAGGGGGGGAAGAAATGTGTCTGTAGCTGTCGATGGGAGAGGCGAAAGTTTTTCGCGGAACGCCGAGTTTGATGGCATAAGCGGAGCCCTTGATCATTAGGGCAGCCGAAACATTCACAGAATTCCACAGAGCAGCGCGAGCAGGCATAGGCAAGAGCCATGCCATGGATATGTTGGTATCGTTCGTACGTGCGGACACGAAATGAATGTCGGCCTCATCTTTGATCAGCTCGCTGTTTTTGTTTCCTCCGCTTGGTTGCTTTGCTTCTTTGACGCTGCCGAGACCAGTTCCAGTTCCCACTGGCCCCCACTTGCTGAGCTTTCGTCCACCCCCGCCTGGGGCACAAGTTTCGCATATGGTGCGATCGATACAGCATCCAGACACGAGCCGGTGCACTACACGGGGGAGAGACACCTATGTCCAAGTAACTAAGCGAGCCATGATTTGACCAAGCGCATGCCGAAGCAAGGTGCAGGACTCGCATCGTGTTTTCAAGGTCTAGTCTCAGTTTCAGGAGCATCAAAAGCTTCATATTTACTCATATTGCATTCATGCATATCTCGGCTGCTTTCCGCTCAGGCTGGTCGCACCAACGAGGCCGGCAGCAATCGAGCCAGATTTGTGCACCTTAACGTTGCACGTGTCTTCCTCCTGGAGTCAGGTCTGCTTTCGCAAACATGGATCCTTTTCAATTTCGACAAATTGCTCAATCGAAGACTTGCTGCCCGACATCGGCCAGGAGCCTCCTGCCCAATCCGACGGTGCAGCTCTGGGTGCTCCGCCGGTGGCGGAGTGTGGCCCCCCACCTGCAGCTCTCATAGACAAGCCAGGGCCTCGCTTTGGACCAGAATCAGCGTGAGGCTCTAGAGGAATTGGGTTCGGCTGTAGGGTGACATGGATCTCCGATACTCCAGGATCTTCCGCATGACTCAAGATGTATGCCGTGTATGGAGGAGCAGTTGGCAACAGGGAGGGGCACCTGGTTCCAGCATTTGAGAAGAGCTGGAACTGACACACAATTGCAAGTGGTCCGGCAACGAAGGCAATCAGTTCTAGAAGCATATAAGAGGCAACTCCATCATGCCTGATCCTGAACTTGGCCCCAGTGAACACAGCTGCCCTTGTGAGCCGGAACTCAGCGCCTTGAAGCAAAGCCGTGCTTTCCACGAGCTCTTGCCGAGGTTAGCGCAAGAGGTGCTCAAGGAGGAGAGACGGGTGGTGTGAGTAGAAGGCAGATGAGTCAGATCCAGGATCATTGATGGGCATTTGGCTGCTGTTCAAAGCAGTGATGTTTTTTCGAAGCAGTTCACCGATGAGCCAATCAAGAGATCTTCAGTTGCCCGCCCTCTGCAACAGGAGCCTTTCCAGCCCAAACCCAAAGAGATTCAGGAATCACGAGGTTCATGTGCAGAACCATTGGCCGGTAATCGTGGCTAAACGTCTGTGCATAAAACTGAGAAAGCTTGTGTCATTGAGCTGAGCATCGAAGTTTACCGAAACGCCTTGCATCTCCTTTGAAGCTGCAAGCAGCTTGGACACTCTCAGGACCAGCGGCTGCAAGATCTCACGGGGCCCAAGAATGAAGGGCCCATCTTCAGCACGATGCGTGCTCGCCACGCTTCGCACACCCTGTATCATTGCCAGGAAGAGGGATTGGCTGTATCGACCTTTGTTTTGGCCACCCCTTCAAACTGCCCAACCTGAGTCTGGGGCAACTGGATTTCTGGCTGCCTTTCTGCTAAAAGCTTGATCCAGTGATGCGATTGTGAGGCACTGTTTGAGCTGCGTAAGCTGCAGTCTCTGTTTGCCTCCCGCCAGGTTGTGTCATCTGCTCTATGCCTTGGCTGTGATGGTACCCGCCCACCCCAAGGACTTCTTTCACTCACGTGCTCCCTCTCCTTAAGCCAGACAAGTGGCCCCTGATCCCCTCAGCTGGCGAGGAGGCGGCCCAGTCGGTCACCGTGCGAGGTGCCGCTTTCGCGCAGTTGATCAAGGCGCGGTCTTGTTGTTCTGACGGCTGCAAGATAGCGAACCGGATCACACTGCACTGTGGGGAACTTCTGTAGTCGAAGCCATTCCGGACCCCCTGTCCGCCCGTTCTTTTCAGCTAGTCCAGGTACAGCATATCGTCGCCCAGCAGATACAGCCGAAGGCATCCGGGCCGCAGAGGGGCTGGCGCAAAAGTAAACGACAGCTTAGCTGTTCTTTCACACAATCCAGCTCTCTAGCTTGGCATGACTGCTTACTGGAAAAGAAGCCAAACACTTTATCAGGTGGGAATGAGTTGGGCAGTGGACCGTATGCACGGTGAGCCAGCATTCCCAAGTCTACCCTCAACGCCTTGAGTCCTGTTGATGACATCTTTCACTCCTTTTCCCATTGTTGAAGGTTCTCTACGACCCAGCGGATGCAGATCGAGCAAAGCCGATGCTCTCAGAGAAATCGCCCCCCCCCCCCCTCCCACACCCAGTCCCGGGCAGTAGGCAGAGCTCTTCCTGTGCTCGAAGCAAAGCTGACATGTGACAGCCTGCCTTCAAGACCTGTCCTGGAGTCTGGGCCTGAGGCTCTTGCTCTACGTAAGGGCCACTGCCTGCGTGCGCTCTGCCGGGCTCCCGGCCTTTGCCGTTCAGTGCCCAGGCCGCCTAGGCCTCGAGGCTTGGGCCTAGCACCTCCCTGGCCCAGGCCCTGCAGTCCATCATGGCATCCTGGTTTGCCGCAGACTTCGGCGCACGCTTCGTGATCTCGGAGGCACCTGGCAGAGATCCCCGGACTTTATCTCGCATTGTCCCGCTCCTCCACGAGTGTGAAGGGTCCTTTTAACTATGTGCCCGCAAGGAACCCGAAGGTAGAAGGAGCTGGCCTTGAGCCATGTGGGTTCCGTTTTGTGAACATCGCTCGGCAGGAAGGCGGACAGGACTTCCTCCGGCATCTCGGCCGAAACGTGAGTGTCGGCCTGTGGGTGAATGCTTCACGAAGACTTCGCATCGTCCGCATGAATCCCTACAGCGTCTTCGTGCTCTTTCGCTCCCGAAGCCTGTAATGCGAATCAGCTTGCGAACTCTGCTCATACCACCGCGCCCGTGCCTGCCCGCCAAGCCAATGTCTCCTTCAGATTGACTTGCTGGACGGTTTGCTTGGAAGGTTGTAGATTCGCGCGTGTGTTCATTCATGAGCAAGGCGTGCAACCAGAGCCAATAAACTAGTTGTGTCTCTTGTAAACACAACAGGGGAGGGAGGAAGCAAGCGGTTACACGGCCCTTCAGCAGTATCCTTTCAGATATACCCTGCGTAGCCAAAGACTGAATCTCGGAACGGCCCGAACCACCCACATAGGCAGGGCAGACATACGTATGTTATTCTTGGAGCAAGCTGGACTTTGTATCAGTCTTTGGACATGTCTTGGAGGGCGGCCCGGTCGTTTTTAATGCAGCCTCTCCTTGACTGTTGCTCAGATTCACTTGCACAGAGCTGAAATAAGGTATTGCTGCAAGCACATCACCCAGGCTTGGATGACAGAGTTTCAGAGGATTTGGTTAGATTTGAATCTTCCTTTCCTTCTGTGTAGCTCGGCTCGTCGCCTAAGACTTAGATCTCCTTGTGGCAAACTGGCTTTTCCAGTGGGAGCTGTATTGAGGTAGGTCTTGTGACCCACGGCATCTTTCGTCTGGCAAAGTGGTGCTTCCGGCTGCGAAGGCGTACAACCACAAGACTGCGATGACGAGAGTTTTGGGCACCCCCTGGGAGAGGATCATGCTATCCCAAGGCCGAGCCGTTGGTTTTGTTCGGATGTATTGCAAGCCTGGGGACTAGCGACCTGGTCATACCCTTCCTGGACTTCAGTCCTTTCTGTATTCCACGGGATACATGTCTCAAGCCCTGTTTCAACCTGCTCAAGCCCCAAGCCGCAATTTGAGAATGTGTGCAGGCGCGGGGGGGGCAACCTGCAGAGGCAGTAGGGGCAGGATATTCACAAAGTCACTGCAGCCCCCAACGTCTTTCGAACACGTACGTACTTGCCGCTCTAGCGTCCTTCTAGTCGTTCCTGCAACGCCGAGGGCTCCTAGAAAAAGAAGAAAGGACAGACTTCTATGAGCGCACTCCATC